ATCCAGACCTGGACTCACAGACCAACATCCTCTCCTGTCCCTGGATGGGGCTGGCGATCACCAGGCTGTGCTTGACTCTGGCCACTCTCCCCACAGCTGCTCTGCTCCCTTGCTTTAGCTCCTGTCTTCCCTGTCCCCAGGAGCTGCTGGCCCCTGTTGGTGAGCTCAGGCCCCCTTGAACCCTGAGCTATGAACCATGGGCTGCACATGGGCTACCTCTGCTGCTCCCCCTGAGCCAAACACCACAGTCCAAACCCAGGTCCTCATTTTCTCCCCTCTGCCAGCTCATGCTGCTTCCTGTTCCTTGCTAATCCCTACATAAACATCCCTTCTCAAGAATTTAAGCAAGCATGAATTCACCTCATCAGAAACTCCCTCACATATGGGAAATAGCGATAAAATGTACCTTGTATCCACATTGCAGGAGCTAACTTCTCTTTAATTATTAATTTGCCTTCTGACTAGTAAGCATTCTTTTTAATTTAATATAAATAGGTAGAAAGGTTATGCTGGCAGTGTTATCAATAATCAAGTTTCAAAATAAATTGCATTCTATGTTTTACATGCACATAAAATGTTTTGAAACATTTACTTTCTAGCTTTCTAGCTGTTTTCCAGTAGAACATCATTTTCAAACTAAGTCAAATTTCTTCCATTACTCTGCAATTACCCACGAGCTAATAAAAGAAGAACTGTTAGAAATTTAATAATATTCTTCTTGAAAGAAAGCTATTTAAAAAACACTTCATGTAGGAAAGTGGGAGGTTGGCATGTCATGGGCCTAATCCCAGCAGATTTAACCAGTGAAATAAATCAGGATGGCAGCACTTGGAAATCACAGTACGTACAAAAACTTAAAATCTTGCCATTAGGGACGTGTTCCAAAGCTCACAGGAATCAGTTGTGGAAATCTTTACACAGCCTTCTCTAAGCTTTATACTCTTAAAACCATTTTTGATGCAAGCGTCCCATATGAAGGTGATTTCTTGAGAAAAAACAAAAGGCATTTTCATTTTATAGCACACAATTTGAGAAGTCTCTCTCCTATACACAGACTCACGAAATTCTTTCCTTCTGCTCTTTGAAAGAAGTCTAAACTGTCCATTGCATCTCTCACAACAAAACTAAACGACCTATCAAAATTGTATTTTCTTGTGCTCACAGTGTGTTCTCAATTACATGCTTCAATATGAAGTTGCATACAAATGGGTAGAACGGTAATGGACATACATAATGATTCATACATAATTATTTATACTATATTTTATATTCCTAAGAGGCCCTGAATAAGTTTTCCTCATGAGGAGATAGAAATAAAGTAAGCTTTACCGGAATGGGTACATTTCTGTAATACATTATACAGTAATTAACTGAAGCATTGAATATTGCACCACTTACGTGATGAATGTTTTAGAGCTACTGTGCTCACATATACCACTGTAGAGTGAATGTAGTACAAAGTCCTAACTTTTGACCTCCAAATTACAAACGAAAATCAAAATGCAGTTTGACTTCCTCTATTGAAAGAACATGGCATACAGGAGTAAGAACAAGATATTCTTAAGGTTAAGCCATCCAAAACCGTCATATGGCATGCCTTGCTGCATTACTGTTCTCATGAAAAATGCATTGTATTTTGGGGTTTTTATTTTCAAATTTTTTTGTTCCACAATTTTCACCAGTGTCATTCCATGTATATTCCTCTATCCAGAATACAGTCACAGTGAAAATTGCTACCACTCAGATATTAAAAAATAAGCAGAATCTTTCAAATAGCTTTATTAATTTTTTTATAGTGATGGAAATGCATCACTATAGTATTTAAATATTAGTTTAATTAAGATACCAGTGGTTAAGAAAGATTATCACCCTCCTCTGTCTACCATTCTTAAAAAGAAAGGTTGGTGGTACTTTAGTTGCTGCTACCCTCTGTGTGGCACTGTGAATTTCAGAAAACTTTTAAAGAAATGATTTAACTTTATGTTCTATTCTGAAAGAATTGGAATCTGATTTTCCAATTACATGGTCTGCAAAGACATGTTTTAGTGAACAGTACAGGAGGAACATCTGAGATGACAGTCTTGTGAAACAAGTTAAATATTACTTAATGAAGAAGTTGGATTTGTACTGAATTACAAACCAGCCCTGCCTGTGAAACAAGGAGTGCTCTTCAGCACTGAGTCTCTCAGTTCTTCAACATTTGTATCAATGATAGAACACACAAATGCCTAATTCTGCACTGAGGCAGGGAGAAGAGAAACAACAAAGCTGAATTACTCAGTTGACCTAGGCTGGCTCTGCAGAAGCTTAGTCAGATATTAAAACATTGTCAAGCAGTAGAATGTTACAGGCAAAATGTATTTTTCAGGACAGGGTTCAGCCAGTCTAAGCAATGTTCAAAATCAGACCTAGAAACGAAAAAGCAGGAGATTTTTCAAGTCCTCCAAGAAGCCTTTTTCAACACTGTTCTTGTGGGCCCGATTGGAACAGAAATCTGACTAACTTACTAATAGCTCTCTTAGATGTAAAACTACTCGTGTCTACACTGGCAATTAGTGTGCCACAGGGATTCTTCCTAGGCGTTGTCTTGGAGTCTCAAAGTATGTGAACGAGCCCAGCAATGTTGTTCCTCAAATCATTCCCCTTCAGATAGAACTAAGGATGAAGGTGTTCACCATCATGTGTGCAGTGTTTGCCATCCAGACCAATGTCCTCCAGCAGTTTGCACTTTGCATATGTGTTCTGCACACTCAGGGACAGTATCTGGCATGAACTTCACTGCCAGGTGAAGAATGGATGCTGTCATGGTCTGGCGACCAGAATGAATTGCTATAAATTAAATTCTTTTCCTTCTGTCTTTGCAACCTTATTGGCCAGTGATGTAGTCACACCCAGTAGGACCTTCGTTGTGCAGTAACTTGAACCACCTCTCTCAGCAGTCAAGTGTTCTTTCTGTTTCTGCTAAATTTCTGAAGGATGAAGTCTTGGTCTATTCTTAGCAGGGGAATGTGGTCATTGGTTTTACAAACACAAATATCACGGTGCTCTCACAGAACACAGCACACTTCCATTACAGAGCTTGTGTGCCATGAACTTTAAACAGATCAAAGGCAAGACCGGAAGGATTCTGCCTGACTAATCTATAAGCATGTAGTTGTGTTCTATGAGTAAGAAATGTTAGTCAGTGCAAAGGCACATGTGGGTGTAAGGTTGTGCTGATAAGCACAAGATAATTCTATTCCTAAGTTCTTGGAGGGTGCAGTTACTTAAGCTGATTAGACTGGATTCTGCCCCATTTTACAGCAGGTATGTCAAAGAAAAATTAATTAAATTTTGAATTAATTTATAAAAAATAATTAATATCAGTAACAGTAAAAGAAACTTCTTGTTTTAAAAAGCAGTTCCAAGAATAGCTACTGCCTACAAAATTGTACCTGATATCACATTTTAGAGAGTCAAATATAGCTTGGAAAACAACATGAAAGTGCTAAAATAGGAAACACCCATAAATGTGCCATGTTTTCCCTGCTGAATGATCTTCAAAACAGAAAAGCAGAATAAATTTTGAAGCAAATTATCTTAAATTTATCCAAGAGAGCTATTTTTGATCACTAGCAGAATGAAAAACTGAAGTTAACTGCAGAAAAAGTAAGGTGCTATAGGAGTCAGTCATCATTATAAAGCTAAGAATATGCACATATCTTTACCAACTCAGTGATCTCTTAGTTTTCAGTAAGAAGAAAAAGAGAGGTTTTAGCTCATTTCTGAAGAGAAAATTGAAAAGTTGAGTGTGAGCCACACAATAAATAATCTAATTATACTAAGCTATCAAATATTTTCTTTTACAGCCTATATCATGAGTTTCTGAGTCCCTGCTCAAGAGTTTGAGCTCCTAGTTTTATACCAGTATTATGATACTCTATTTCACTTTGATATTCCCATGTCTACAGAATTTGGTTAAAAATAGTACAAGGAAATACATATTTCAAAACAGATGTTTTGTTTGAGTTCTTGATACATCAGGGAAACACTTTTATTAGTTTCACCTTTTTATAAATTACTAGTTAGTGGCCTCCATTCAAGATTCATTTGTCCTGTCATAATAAAATAAAATATGTGAAACAATAACGGAGGATTTGAATAGCATATTTGTGGGAATTTGTTATCATGACTAAGGGGAGGAAGAAAAGTATGTCTCAATACTTACCAAACTACAAGGACAAGAGCTGTGATATGCATGCCACAAGCAAAATTCATGTATCACAGCTACACCTCCTATTTTCCATCACATTTAAAAGTTGGCTAGTAGAAAACATCTCTAAGAAACAATCTTTAAGTCAGTGAACTCACATTAAAGAGATCAGTGCAGACTAGGCACTTGTAGAAAAGTCTCTAGGAATGAGATGAACCCCACCTTCTGAAGGACTATGGGTAAAATGGGAAATAAATTTTTAAATGGTCCAGATTTCCCTGCCAGGTCAGTCGGTTGATAAGTGAATATTTTTATTTCAGGCTCTGCTTCCATTGTAAATTTCATAACTTAGGCACTGGTGGGTTCTAATGGTTAACATTTACCATTTCCATGTTGCTGTTATTCAAATAATTTCTCTACATGCACAGACGCATTTTACCTGTACTTATATATATCTATGTGAAAAATCATGAGGATTCCCTACTGGAAAAAAAAAAGGAATAAGAAAGCCTTTTAAGAAAATAGACAAACAAGCCTCTAACAGGAGGTTATAGGAATATACCTGCACAATGCTGTTAATTCCAGTGTTTTCATACTGTTAACCTCAAGATGCACCACGTACATTCAATTTTTCTTAAAGTAAACAGGCTTAGGATTTTACTGTGCTACCTAATAAGCACTTCTCCAGTAGTTTCTTCTCTTTGGAACTGTAACTATGCACTTCACTTCTTAGGGGTTAATGAAACACAGTGATGCATGACATGAATGGCTTATACAGACTGCAGGAAGAGAAGCCAGTCACCTTTACCTGAAGTGGGAGACTTGCAACGCTCTAGCTCCAGGGAAACTGGACTGTCACTGAGTTCAGTCAGGCCTGAAAAAATGGAGTTAAAGAGTTAAGTTACAATCTAACAGGGCATGCTTCAACTTTCTAGGTTGATGATATTCTGCACTTTACAGTCACTTTGGAGAAAAAATGGTGTGAAATGAGAGGGAAATATCTATTTCAGATAACTGCAGTTATCAGGCTGTCACTGCAGAAATTTAGGTTTGGTTTAAAAAAATCACTCCTCTTGTTAACTCAGATTTGTTTTCCAAGTGCCTCAGGATAGAAAAGAGTAACTATACCTAACAAAACAAAACAAGTTAAGTATAGTTTAAAATGTAAAAGTCTGTGATATGAATAAAACTTATTCACCCCTGTCAAACTGATGTGGAAACTCTGCTTTTAAATGCTGCAGAATGCAGGGAAGGAATCTTAAAACAGGTGAGGAAAAAATAAAACCACTACTGTGCCATATTAGGAACTTCTATACGAATTCACACAAGATAGATAACTTTAAAGGTTATTGAGGCATTGATAATGCTATCTGAGTATAACACAGATTTTTTTGGACAAGATGCTTTATATATTGTTCATAAATATTTGTGAGGAACTTGGCCTACATGGAAGACAGCAACATATAAATTAACCCTGGTCTATACTGCTTAAGCTCCTCCTTGTTTCTGTGACCAAACCGAGATCCATCTTTGGCATAGGTTGAATAAACGAGTTCAAACATGCCTTTTGGCATAGTAGGCAGGGAAAGTCTGAGCTCATGCTATCCTTTACCAACCATTGAGTGGATGACCTGGGCACGGGCACACCTATTCAAACGCCCCCTTCCTGTGTATCCTGTAGTGCCCTGTGGCCTGTATCAAGGGGTTCACCCTTGTTATGTGGAGCTATGGGTCTGACTGAAAACCCAGCACCAGACCTACATATGGTGGCACTGTGGACTCAGAGCACTCAGGTCAGAGCCTAGTCAACATCAGCCCACAGTCAGATGTACAATAATGTTGTCCTGATATTGTACTTACACACATGCTGCTCATGCCACTTCCTGAAAATCAAACATCCTACAAGAACCTTTCAGTATGCTTTAATCTGGCACCAAAAGATTATATGTTTTAATATTTACCACTCCTGGACTCTCAGGCCCAGAGTCCCCTATCTCTAAAATTCATATTGTCTTAAAATATTCTGCTACCATTTGGCCACCAATGCTGTTCTCTTGGTGTTGAAAACAATGGAATCTTAAAACAGGTACTGACAACTTTATGACAAGAACTATGGAGAGTCCAGAGCCCCGAGAAGAAGAACAAAAAATGTCCTACCACTAATAAAAATGCAGGAGTGCAAGAATAACACTGACAGCCCTTTGGAAAAGCAGCAGCTCATTTGACCTGTTAAGTCAGTATTAAAGACATACTTCTACCTGACTTTTAAAAAACAAGAGATCACAAACTATATACTGTTGTTGAAGACCAGAGATCTTTTGTTTTGAGAGACATGAATCTTTCTCTGATTCTCTGAGAGAATTTTTTATTTCAATCATGAGTCCAGTCACTTTTGATGTTATGAGAGTATTCACAAACTGCAATCATTTAGGGAGCCTCTCTGTGTATAGTTTTCTTACGGTAAATCTTAATTCTACTTGACCCTGAGGTTTCTATACGTACCTAGAGATTTGGGACAGAATTGATTTTTACTGCAGAACTGTCTGCAAGGTGCAGCAGGACAGAGTTTGGCACACTTGCATAGCATTAGAGGCCTTGGATGAATGAAATATTACAGTGTTTCTTTTCTAAGTGCATATTAAAGTTTTAACACCTTATCATGTTCTAAACATTGGATAGTTAGTACTGAGGTCAGTTACAATGTCAAATCCCGGGTCAGATTTTTCTTCAAAATAGAGTGGTGTAGGTTTTTTGGTTTGGTTTTTTTGTCTGTTCTTTAACTGTGAGTTCAGAAAAACAATATTACACCTCAATATAAATTATGGTGCTATGGACTTAAACAGGAAATGCACCAAACCACACCAACCAAGAGCAATCACCGTAAGAATACTGTGAATTCTTTTTACAACATACGACTTTAAAGATACATTTCATGTTATGATATTTATAAATGATGAACATGCGAACTTCTTTACAAATCTAGACTTGCTGTCAAGCTACTGTCACCTTTAACAGTGGCCACCAATTGATGCTTTTAAAGGAGAAGTGTAATATGTCCCCATGTTAAATGGAAGTGGTACCATATTCCCTGCACAAGACCATTATCTTAATCTTAGACAGTTAGATTTGTTTAGGCACTGCCACTCACAGATTTTCTCCTGCCATAAGTCTTTCTTGCTTAGAAATATTACAAGTTCTTGTCATTACCCACCCATTTGTCCATAGTCTCTTCTAATTTTGCTAAATTCTAAATTCTGAAGATGTTATAAGGCAATGAATTGCACAGTCATCATTCACGGAAAAGAAAAAAACCAATTTGTAATTTATATGTTACGTTTGATTCCAGTAAATGTCATCTTTTGTTTCCCTTTGAGATAAGAGGAGCTCTCAAGCTATTCTTTGTACTACCGCTCATTTTCTACTGTGATTTCCTTTTTGAGGAAACCAAGCTAAATACTTCCAATAATTTATCATGTACAAATACTTCCATGGACCTCAGCTTCCCTTGAATGTTTGAGAGACTATAACAGCTACTGAAATTAGATAACAAAAATATTTTCACTTTCCATTTTGAAGTTCTGTAGGCACAATTTGTGCCCCAAGATAGTTTAGCTATTTTTAGCCAAATTAAAATGCCACCCCAGCAAATTTTGAGTCCATCTAGAGCAAGAACATAGCAGCAAAACTAAAGGCAAATAACTGAGATTGGCAATGTGAACAACCACCTGTGAGAAGATATACCCATTGACATGATAAAGAAATTGGTTTTGATTTGAGTAAATCAAATCTGTGTTTACACGAGTAAATAGTGCAAGATGTAAATACATCACACAAGGCGTTAAATCACTTTTAAAGACATGTCCCATGCATACTTTTCAAAGTTAAGTGTGATTTCCATTTCCTCTTCATTAAAGGATCAAAAAATATACTGCCTATTACCTATGAAGTATCAACTTTTATGAACTCATAATTTGTAATTATTTTTTAACTTTTAAATGTCTATGTTTAAATGATTCAGATGGATCATTTACTTTAAAGTACCCAAAGCCATCATATATGTTCCTATAAATAAATGAATTATAAATAAATTATCATAAAAAATCACAGGCCAAAAAGTAAGCCCACTGTTACCCTAATCCATCATCTTCACACTGAATTACCATACTACGTTTTCCATAGGCTTATATATATAGATATATATATATATATGTGTGTGTGTGTGTGTGTGTGTGTGTGTGTGTATGCATGTATTCTTTGGAAATTAGTTCCGAATATAGCTGCTGACTTCAAACTCAACCTCTATTAGCTTCTTAGGTGTGATTTAAAGTGTCAATTACTGATACGTAATGGCTCATAACACACAGTTTTCTGGGTCCTCCTGTCAGACCAAGGTTACTTTTGCTAAAATTCTCTCAAGGGACTGGCCTGAAGGAGGAACAAGGACTTCTCACTGAAAGGTCTTCATTAAGAAAATTATTTTCCACTGTATGGCAACATTCTTTGAACTTGACAAATTTTTGGGTGCTTCATAAAGGCTATTTATTTTCTTGTTCTTCCAACAGATGGTATGAATTTCTAGTAGGAGATGCAAATTCCTTTTGCATCATGTTGGTATTTTTATATTCTGCTGCAAATATTATCCCTCTAGATGCAGTAAACATACTTGTTTTAATATTTGAATATATATTACACACCACCAGGTAATAACATGTTCAACTTGATTTCAACTGAAGGGAAAAAAAAAAAACAAAACCAACCAACAACAGAATTCTGCACTACTGCAAAGAGAGTTTATTTTATTCCGCTTGTCTTTTATTCTTGCTAAAAGCAAGGTGGCTGCAGATGTTACAGCAAGCAAACCCCAGCTCTGCACTTACCCTCTTCTCAGCTTCTATTATTTTCTCAAATTGCTTCCATGATAGGACAATTATGTTTCAGTCTCTCCCATCACGTAGAACTCCTTTCACCTAGAACTGACTACATTTCTTCCCTTCTTGCTTTCCCTTTCCCACTTTCACCTCCCAAACCAGCGAATGTGCTGTTTTAATGCTCTGAGTCCACTCTAGGTGCATTTGAGTCTAGCTTACATATGTAATCGTTATCAAGCTCTCCATAGACTTATTGGCTAAAATTCAAAACAATTAGTCCACCACCATGCTTTGCATACTGGATGTCCTTGACATTGTTGATTGACTGTGTCGTGTCTTTTCTTTGGAAAACCTCCTTTATCTCTCTGACCCAGCATTTGATTAGGATGAAGAACTGAAGAGATTCTTTTGTATAAACATGACAATAATTATAGATACACATATTTTTTACTTTAATGATTCATAAATCTAATCTTATCACAGATCTAACTTGGATTTTTTCCATCCAAGTTAGAATAATAATCCTGTCTAAAATCTACTCAAAAGTGTCCAAATATGAACTTAACATTGCCAAGATGACCCCTACCTTTTTTTTTTTTCTGAAGTCTCCACTATGTCAACAGAGCTAGCAGCACCACTGAATTCTCTGATACTCTAATCCATTATATTGGTTACATTCTTAGAACATCACACTCTAACTCTCATATTCAGGCTGGTTACTAAATTATACCGTTTCTTCCGGCAAATCAGCTCTAAAACGACCAAGAAAAGTCTCAGTATCTTGCTCATTGATAATCTCTTCTTTGACTTCAAGGCCTACCAGTCATTCTCCCAAACTGATCCTCATGAAATTATCTTCCTGGTTCATTACTTAATTTAATCTACTACTCATATATCTTCCCATTTACTTCCATTTTCATAGATACAGCCCTGAAAATTTTAGACCTAATGCTTATGTTATGACATGACTCCTCTTGCTTTTGTCATAATAGTATCAGCTGCACAATTTCCAAAAATAATTTACTTTTCCCATCATCATCCCTTACGAGAAAAGATAAAGCTGTAAGCAAAATCCTAAATCCTCTCTTAATACCCCCCTTAAAACTCACATTTCAGATAAGACATATAACAAAGCACAACTTGAGAATGACTTGGCAAGATATTTTCAGACTATGACACATTCTGGTCCTGTTCTTGGTCTTATTGCCTTATGTGTCTTTCAGATTATACAGTGTATACTCCCGTATAAGTATCAAATAACAAAATTAAGAACCAAGTGGTTTTTGAGGAGAGAATTGAAGCTTTTAATGATCTTGCCTAAAAGTCAGACTCATACCTTTCAGTTATGATGTATACAGGAAAATTTTGTGCACATTTTTGATTCTGGGGTGGAAACAAGACAATAAATTTTCAGTTATGAAAAACTCTGTGGTCTCTGTTCATAATTCTGAATCAAAACATTGGGAATTTTTTGCCTTAGAATTTATTAATTTTTTTAGATGTGAAAAACCCCAAACCTTGGACTGCTCTCTGTCTCTCAGGTTCTCTATTACAGATGGGAAAACAGAAAGACCAGTCTAAGAGACTCTAAGATATCATACACCAAAGTTCTTTATGGACTGCTAGATTTGTAACTGGACTCATCTTTTAACTAAGAAGACCATCTTTTATGAACTAATATGAAATAAAACCATAGAAATCAGCTAGAGGGATGGAACAGATTTTCTCCTGCAAATGTATTTCAGTAGCTACATAAGTCTATATTTATGTGAGACGATAAAACAACTGCCACTCCTTTATCTTGCCCATACCGAATATTTAACATAAAATTGTCTATCCAGTTGTTCTGTGAAAACTGCTTTAAAAAGAGATGAATAGAGGCATCCTAGAGACCTAATTACATATAAGCACTGCAGTTAGTTAAGATACATACGGCTCATCTGTTGAACAGTCAATTTTGCAAAATTAATTATAGCTTTGTTCATTGCATTCTGCAGTGATGAATACTAATATTTAAATCGCATATCAATATAATTCAAAATTTAAAGATATTAAAAACATTAATTTTCATAGCTCTCTTTGATGTATGTATTTTTATGCCCACTTTACATTCCCCATCAAAGATCAGAGGCACGAGATGGTTCCCCAAAGACAAATATTCAAGTGCCAAACCAAGATTAAAATTTTAAATTTTACAGCACCCAGTTTAATGGGTGCACTCTTAAGCCACATTGCTCTTCTGAAAAAAGGGAAGAATTAATTGATAACTACAACCAAATAGTGCCATTGCAAAACAAGAAATGCTTCATATAAGTAAATGTACAGAGAAATGAATAGAAAACCAAAGAAAGATACTGTCATCAAGAACATAACATCGTTGAAAAATCATTTCTGAAGCCCAATCTGTCCATATAACACTGAGGTTTTCTGTTTGACTCTTTTGGAAGAAAAGAATATCTGTACAATAAAGATAATTGTCAAAAAAAAAAAAAAAGCATGATTGACATCATCAAATGTAATAAATTTGCATGCATGCTGAATGTGTTTAAAAAACACATTACGAAGCACAAACACATGGGTTTAAGTCAGGCATAGTCCAATCATGATAAAGCTATTTGCCTAACCTTTATAGAACTTACTCTGATAGGAAGTACGGATCCGTTTCGTTAAATCTGGATAAAAGTTAGACAGGCCACGCATGCAAAAGTTGTCTTTGGAACATGCCAGTACACCAGCATCAGCAGCAGGCAGAGGAAAGAGAGAAAAAACAGTCTAAAGTGAAAGGAAGTGATATCATAACCAGCATCTAGAACAGCCAAGGTGAAAAAATTTCAGCAGATGCTTACCTTCCAATTGGGAGATATAACAAGAAAAATAATTAAAAAAGTAAGGGATGTGGGATGGATGGTGAGAAAGCAGCTGAGGGTTTTTTTTAGATGCATAGTTTCTATGAGCAATCTAGAAGTGTGTATTCCTTCTCAGCGGTCACTTATTCCCAGTGGGCTCCTTTCTAGCAGCGCTGCCTAGCTGGAATCATTCCTTAAAGGATTGGCCCAGACTGTCCCTGACAGAGAAACCCCACATGATACAGTGCTGATAACTGCTTTTTCTACATGCACAACCCTCCACCTTTTGTACAGGGTTCTGCAGATGTTGCTTGGGGTGAGCTACTCAAATTACTTTGGGAGCTGCTGTGAGGCTGGCTGAAACCAGACAGAGAAGCTGAAGGTAGCTGGAAGCTGCTTGTCTCTTCTCTCCTCAGCTGTGCCAAATTTACATATTTAACACTTGGCACAGATGAGAACTAAGCTTCGCCATGATTAAATGCATAAAAAGTGAGATAAATGGTCTTTCAGGAACAGAAGTAGGCCTGAAGACTTACATTTTATTTTCTAAATTTTACTTGCTGTTTGTAGTGCAAACATTCCCAATTTAAAAAAAGATTTCCCATGACTCTGTGGAGAAATACAAATCGATGATTTAGTGCAGGGTCTGCTGATGAAAATGCTGATGTCATAAACCCACTATAATCTGTTGCTTTTATAATTTTATGGTTAGATTTAAAACTCAAAATTTTCAAAGAGATTTTTAAATCTAATTCTAAAACTTCACAGCTATGTATAACATATTTCATAATTGTGTCTGACTCTAGCATATTATTATGGAATATGTCTAGCGAAAAGACTTGAAACATAGATTATTTTCTGACTTTTTCTCATACAAGTAAATTTTTAAATAACCAACAATGTACGGCAAAATTTAGATGTATTGAAGTACGAATATTTCTAACACACATCGCATAATAACAGTTACAACTTACAAATGTGATCCTCTTAGCATCAAATTTCAAAATGGAGCATAGCTGAATGTTGTAAGTTTATAACAGGAGCTTTAGTTCGCTAACAAAGTACTCAATTTGAGCTACTTGTGCTACCTACATAACACATCTCCCCAATGTTACACTTCTCTAAACAAAACTGACTATTCAAATGAATAGTACCTGGTGGAAGATACATTTAAGTTTAAGTTGAAGTCTTACTTATTGGTATGAACTTACTGAAGACAGAAAGAAAATAGCATATGAACTACACTTCAAGTGACTGCCAGAGAAACAATTTATTGCTCTGCTCATTGTGATTTTGTACGGACTCAGCTAAGGGAATTACTTGCTGACCTCCATCCCAAGAGAAAAAACTTCATAAAACATTTTGTTTCTGAGAAAGTGCCTGTACCTAAAGCATATCAGGTTTCTTTTGTCAAGTTATAGAAACTCCATTGGCTGGCAAATAGTCATGCATTTTAAAAGCACTATAAAAAAGCCACAGGCAAAAAAAACCAAGGAACATATCAGGCTCATAACCACACTGATTTATTTCCTACCTGCAGCAAACTGCCTGCTTTTGCGAGGTGAACGGGGTTGACGCTGGTATGGATCACTCGATCCATAGAGGTCAAGGGTTCCCATGCTCAGCAGTACTGTCTTCTGCATAAAGTCCACGACAGCCAAACCATTGCAGTTCCCAAATGCCACTCTGAGAAAAAAAAAAAAAAAAAGGTTCCTCAAAGGTATTAGTAATGTGTAATTAAGTTGTGCAAACAATAATTATTTATTATTGTGAATTCTGCACAAACTTTTTCTGCGGAAACTACTCAAAGCTGACATTTTGTGTTTTACAGATTTGTAATCCTGAATTTATAAAAATGTTTTCTGAAACACAGTAACTGACTTTCCAGAAAGCAGATTTACAACAATTACTGGCTTCCTGTGCCAAACACATTGCAGTAATGTCTAAATGTTGCTTCACTAAACAATATAATTCTAGTAATAATGATACAAATTAAGCCTACAAATGTGGACATACACCTTGAAAAGTGATTATGCATTTATATAAAATACAAATATAAATAGGATGTAAATACAAATACAGGCAAAAATAATTATTTTAAGCTAAATATAAATGACAAATGAATGACATTAAGCTGTAATATTGAGGTACCCAAATCTGAAAGTAAAATTTTCTTTCAACTCTGTGAGCTTAGCTACAGCACAGATTCCTGTTAAAACAGTCTCTACCTCTCTGGAATGCTTTTACAAATGGCATTTTGATGGTGGTTTGATTCATGGACAAGATCTCTCTCCTTTTGCATCAGACTGCAATTTTAAATTCTAGACAGAAAGGACTGCAGGTACAGCCACAGGGAAACTCAAAAACTCAAACCGTGCCCAATCGTAATAAGAATCATTTCTTATCAAGTTCTGTCATTTTATGTAAAAAGTGATGAAGGTGGTCAGTTCAAAGCCCTGCAAAAATATTCAAGCACTTAATTCACACTAAAAGTGAGATGTGCACTCAACTCCACCTGACTCTTCTTAATATAGCTCCAAATATCTGATAGGAATTTGTGTGTGGAAAAACAAGGCAAGAGAGAAGTAATGAGACGGAGGAACGGGAAGCAGGGTAGCTAGAACATTTTCCTCTCTTCTACCTTTTCTTACACTGCTTCCATTACAAAAAAGAGCGTTCCATATAGCAAATAGAAAAGTAATATGTAAAGTAAAATGAAGTGATTTTCTCCTAATTGCCAAACTATCAAATTAAGGCACCATCTACAATAGTGGCTCAAATTCTGCTGGTTGTTACTTCACCACATTTACTACCCTTGCCTTTACACTGACTTCAGTACAACATCTATGGAAATACTGTGAATGTATACTCTGATTTTTCCATGTTGACTTTTTTCCCCCATTGAAGTGATCCCTTGGGGGCCCATGTAGGGACCAGGACAGTTTAATGCCTTCATCAGTGACAAAGACAGTGGGATCGAGTGCACCCTCAGCAAGTTTGCAGACAACACCAAGCTGAGATGTGCCTGAGGGACAAGTGCCGTCCAAAAAACCTGGAAAAGCTAGAGAAGTGGGCTCACGAATGGGATTAATGGTTCTAAACTAAGAGAATCGATTTAGATTAGGTACAAGGCAAAAGTTTTTTACAATGAGGATGGTGAAACACTTGAACAGGTTTCCCAGAGAGGTGGCAGATGCCCCATCCTTGGAAACATTCAAGGTCACAATGGACAGGGCTCTGAGCAACCTGATCTAGTTGAAGAGGTCCCTGCTCACTGCAGGGCATTGATCTAGATGAACTTTAAAGGTTCATTCCAACCCTAATGATTCTGTGTGTTCCTAAGTCCCTGTACTCCAGGTGGAGAAGAAAAATAAAGAAACAAAAATGACAAGTGTCAATCTCATCCATTAATACTTTAGGGGGAAAAAGAATAGCCATTTGCATTTTGAAAATTATTAACCCGAGATCTATTAGTTTTGGAAAACATGACTAACAAGAAGAGCTAGTGATCATTCATAGTCTGGTTAGCAATTTAACAAAACAAATCATCACTTCCTAGTCTGTTTTTTTTTCCTAAACTTCTCTAAATCCACACACAAGCGTGGATATAATATTTCTTATAACCAAAAAAATTACTTTACCAGAAAAAATCAGAAATTGCTCATTAATATTATAACACTTCTGAGGAATAGTAAGAAAATCTAGACAGACATTACTATTAACAAGGCTTAAGATAAATTACTAACATCCAAGTCTTTATGAAATCAAATACAAAATGAATTTCTCAGTTTTGAGCAATGAATTGAATTAGTTGCTAGGCAATTTTCCATTCTGTGGGTATCTTTCACAGAAATGTCATAAAATCCTCATCAGACATTTCTTGACAATTAATATGCAGAGTAGCTGAAAACTGTCACCACATGAGCCTGTAATAAATTTTCAGAGACTGCTTTCAGTCCAACAGAATCTACTTTAAAATTCTATTTTTTTGCATTTAACCTTGTTCTTCAAGGTTAACCTAGTCCTTCAGCTGTAATTGAAGTATTTTGTAAAATATTCTTTTCTACTTTCATATTGTGAAGAAGTTTGTGATGATTCATTTCAACATAAATAAAACAGGTGTTAGTATTTTTAATTTGTAGCTTGGTACTGTTAAAAGTAAACCAAATACATTAAAAAAAAAATTTCAGAGTGTCTGAATCTTTTGTCTTTGCTGTGGATAAAGTTTTTTTAATCCCTCACTTTAGTCCTGTTTCATGGCTGCAGTAACACAACAGTTACAGAAAACATAGTAATTAAAAAAATACTGAAAGTAGACTCTCCAGAACACACTAACCATTCTATGCTTTCCTGCTAGTTAAACCTATTGGGAAAAACTATGAGGGTAGTAAAACCCTATAGGAAAAAAAAAATAAGGCAAAAGATGACTCAAATAACCCTACAACTAAGATGGCAAAAATTAGGTATTCTCAGGCTTCGTGGTTAAGTGGCATAGGTTTTCCCCACTGTGAGGCTGAATAATAGGTGAAAATTAAAGTCGTAAACAAAAATCCTGAAGAAAGGAAGGATTGCACCCTGTCACAGGCCCAAGATAAAAACTAGGAGAGATAAGAGAGAGGGAAGATAGTTTGCAGAGGAAAATTTAAAGAAAAAGACATTCTTGGGTAGCTTTGGGAGGAAAATTAAATCTAGGGTATTGTTTAGGCTCTTTTACTGATACATATATTTATTACTGAAACACTCATGTGCATAGCACATGGTGTTTTAAAGGAGGTTGTCCAGTAAACTTTTACTGCTCCTAGTGAACAATTTAAAGCATTTGATTGAATCAAATCAGTGGTTTAGGAAACCACTGTGAGTACTGTGAGAACTGCAACCTGTCAGAGTAGTTTACAAGTGAGAGAACAGTGTGACTATTTAGATGCTGCCCTGAGGTCTGAGACCTGCAAGGGAGCAAATTAGGCAAAACCTAACAATTTGCACAAGTGACAAATTCATCTAGATATGGTAAAGAAGAAGAAACTTCTAGAGCTCATGAATAGGAAACTGTCTAGAAATTCAGGCCAAAGACTTGAAAAAACAGCCCCCCAAAAAACAATTTTTTTTCACAAATGTAAAAGCTCTTCATTAAACTGCCAAAGTCTCTGAAGAGAGTCCAGTGACCTACTGAAAATCAGTAGCAGTCAGCAACTAACACCCATTACAGCCTGAAGTTTTAATAGAGCAAAACCTTCTACAGGGAAAACCTGTATTTAATGTATCTGGGTGACTCTCAGTAAGAGAAAACTTAAATATTCCCAAATAAATTGAACATGAGGAAAAAAAGTACATGGTCTCATTTGCATTGCCATACAGGAGTTAGCATTTGAATGTCCCTTATTCAGTTTTGAATTTCAAAACACTGGTTCTTGTGCAAACAGACATTAGCATGGACATGAAAATGCTATTCTAAGAAGACAATTTCCAACTAAGATATGATGTCATGATAAATGGCATTTAACAGTTAATCACATCACCATTTTCTGTGAAATGCATTTCACCTCGGTGAACCTTTCAAATAACTTTAAAAATTACAGATTTGAAAGGCAATTAGATTTCATTTGAAAGGATAGACAGAATTATGTGAAAAGATTCAGACTTTTCAATAGGGCTAGTAAAAACATCGGCAGGAATGGCAGTTTAACATCTCATATTACAACATTTATGAGAGTTCAAACAATTTTCCACAAGAATCTGAGTTACAGCATCTTTTGAGTATTTTATTTTGACCTTAATAAAACAATAAACAAATGCAAACTTAAATTTGAGTTACTTACAGCCCGTAAGCAGAGTTTACAGCAAGACTGGTAATCTGTTGTGGAGGCTCACCATCCACCCACACCAACTGAATAACAAGATCTGCTTGGTATCCAGGAGGCATTCGCACAGGTCGAGTCTTAACACTAAGAAGAGGAGGTACAAAATAAGAACAAACAAACAAACACGCACTGGGCCATGAATAACAACTGCTTCTCATTTAATCAACCGGAATGGAAAACCTAAAATACTTCCTTCCGAGACTTTGAAAAAGGACATGTCTGTATTTTTGGAACTTTTTTATTCTGAAAAAAAGCACGACAGAAAAATTTAAGGAGGCAAGAGAAGAGGAGAACATAAACCTTTCTGTAGTGGTCCTCACCACAGCACATTCAAAACCTGTGAATCTGACAATTCTATTTGTCCATTTAGTGCAAACAAGTCCTGTTTCATTTTTAGGAGCATAATAACCCAATACATGAATGAATGCTTCCTACATGAAAATCTGATAAAATTATTAACACCTGTTCCTACTGTGCTGTGGCCAAGTTCAGTGACTTGTAAAGCAGGTTGTGAAGGTGTACATATTCAGGTATTAAAGGGAAGTGTAAGAGCTGAACACCTCTGTATGACTGCTTTATGTGTGTTTTTGACTGGGAGAACTTAATGTGGTGATACACTGAAAGAAGATATTATGCAATAATAGCAATACTTTGAGAATTCATGTTAGTCATTAGTACATTCACACTGTACGTAGTAATTTCTAAGTAAAGCCCATTATTCAGTGCATTTTTACTGTAGATATAAATGGTGAGACTGCTTATATTTCACCCCTTTGCACACAGTCGTAATAGGGCAGTCTATCAAATATAAGCCACTATCCCTGTGGAAAGCAGTGCTCCAAAGAAGACTCAGAAACAGGAGAGGAGGGAGAGTAGCTAATTAATATAGACATGGACAACACATTCTGAAGAACTGCACTTTTTGACACATAATATTTCTTTCTGCTTTAATTGCTTCTCTATCCTATCTTGGATCATGGAGAAGAGACCTTGGATGACACCGATGATGCAGACTACCTCCTGAATGCGACTGACATGACTCACCAAGCTTTCCAAGCAGCCCTGGCCCAAACACCTGAAAAGACGATGAGTCAGATTGGAAAAAAACCCAACTGACTTCTATTCAGAAGCAAATAACGAAGCACTTCTTTCAAGAAAGGATATTCAAATTTCTCTCTCTCTATAACCAGGGCTATCAGGTTCTTCATAGCTACCCTGATGGCATCTGTTGGGATGGAGACCTTGGTGGCAAATAGGGCTACTGGCAGTCTTGGTAAATGGAAGAGAGACGAAGAAAACTGAAGTAAAATGAAGTAAAACATAACCAGTGAATGACATCAGGGCAGAAGTTCTCAGCAAGATAACTCCAGCAGCACAAAGGGCAATATGCAAACCAAACAGTGCTCTAATTCTGACAGAAGTTATGAAAAACAGGGGATTGTGAACTACTCACAGTTTCATGGTTTGATTAAGAGTATGGATATATCTTACCATACAGAGGTAAAATCACCAGCCTAGTGTTAGCAGTAGGAGTACTTGAAGATACTTTCTGGAAAATATCTTAAAGCATAAAGACTATTTTCTTAATAAGGCCATCGTATCTCAGTTGTGAGTTAACCTCATCTGGCAGCCACACACCCACCCAAATGCTCTCTCATTCCAATTCCTCAACAGGACAGGGGAAGAAACTAAGAAAAAAAGATCATGGGTTGAGAGAGGACAGGGAGATCACTCACCAGTTACCATCAGAGGTAATGCAGATTCAACCTGGGGAAAATTAATTTAATTTATTGCCAATTAAAAATAGAGTAGGAGAGTGAAAAATTCTTTGAAATGACAAAATTAAAACCATCCTCTCCCTACCCTTCTCTTCAGGCTCACTTTCACTTCTGACTCCTCTCCCTCTTTCCCCACTTGCAAGCAGCACAGCAGAGCAGGGGAATGGTGTTTGTGGTCAGCTCATAACACTCTATATCTGCCATTTCTTCCTCATGCTTTCCCCCTGTTCCAGTGTGGGGTGTAGTCCTTCAAGAACAGACTGCTCCAGCATGGGCCCCTCAAGGGCCACATTTCATGCCACAAAACCTGCTCCTGAGTGGGCTCCTCCATCAGTTGCAGCTCCTGCCAGGAGCCTTTTCCAACGTGGGCTCTCCATGGGCTGCAGGGGAACAACCTGTACCACCCCTACAGAATACAGGGGAATCTCTGCTCTGCTGCCTAGAGCAACTTCTCCTGCTCTTCCTTCTCTCACTTTGGTGTCAGCAGGACTGTTTCTCGTGTTTTTTTTCTTTTCTTAAATATGTTTTTCCAAAGGGTCCACCTTCTTGGCAGAGGGGCTCAGCTGTGCCCTACAGTGGCTCTGTTGGAATTGATTGGAACTGTCTGTGACCAGGACAGGGCAGACCCAGCTGCCCCTCACAGGAGCTGCCCTGCAACCCTCTCAGCCAGCTTCTGAGTACCTGCACATTTATACCCTCTCTTGAATGGTTTAACCATTTCAGCAATACAGTTTATGCTGTACTGCGAATATTTCTATTGTAGGGAATCCACAAACCTTGCCAAAACTTTCCCTTCTTTATTACTTAGTAAGAAAGTAATTTCTCATCTATCTTTCTAAATGCATTTCCTTAACAGTGCCTTGGCACACTATTCTATTTCTTTTGCCTGCTGTACCGTTCAAACTGTACATATCAATCTGTCTGGAGCAGCAATCAGCCACTTGGCTCGGATCTTGTTGCAGGAAAGATGTGACAGTACAGTTCAGCAAGTGCTCAGCCCACTGCAGTTGGCAATAGCTTTGTGTTGTTGTTTTCTATTGACAGCAAACCTCTCCTCAGAGTTTTGCACTTTCTTACCTGTTCTGCTGGCACTAAAGCTTTGCCCTTTTCTTTGTTCTTTTGATACATATCCATAAGCCTTTTTGAAGTGATGTTATCCATAACCCTAATGAAACCCTGGATTACCCAGGACTACTCCTGGTGAGAACAAAGGGATGAACATCTGTGAACTTAAGCTGCTAAGGGAGAGGGATCTTTCGAGACCAGGAAAAACTGAAACTATAAACAAGAGTTGTATACAATAAAGATGTACTATTTTCAAACAAACTTTACAGTAATCAGAAGCTGAATATTTTATATAAACAGTCCTTCAGAGTATCTTTGTGATGGAGTCCTTCAACTTCTAATGTCTGTGGGCGAGCCTTTAAGAGGCAGACCAGCAGTGCTCTTTCCATCTTGCACCCCATTTCCAGTTTTCAGCTCCTGCCCTTAAAAATGTTACAAAAATTATAAAACAGTAAACGAGATCCAAGAACCAAGACATAGTCTATTGTCCTTTCAGTTGAGCTTTCCATTCATATTTTCTAATGGATAATGTTGTGGGGGAACACAAGAGTCAAACACTGCTATAGTGAGTTACAAGTACCTGTCAAAGAAATGCGTTTACCCTTTCCTTCTAAAAAAATTACCATGAGACTTACAATGGCTGCAGAGTTAATTCTGATCTTCTAAACCATGTTTTTAATGTGGTATTACTTTTCCAGTGTGTTTTTAACAACATGCTGAAAACACCAGAGAACTTCAAGTACCTCCTAAATTTTCTTTCAGATTGTTGTTACCCAAGGAAAAAAACCAAACACACTTCTCTCTATATTTTTCACCGCAAATTTGAGGATCTAATTGGTAAGACAGATGTTATTTCACAGGGATTTTCCTAAGCACAGAATAAGCTGTAGGTGGTGAAAGACCATAATACTGGAGCAAAACAATTTCAAGTTTCATAGTTGAGTTTGTCATTCCCACATTCCCGTGACACCTTCCTCTTTAAGGATCTTTGAGCTATTTCCCTAACCATCTTGCCTGAACAGTAAATGCTGATATTTAGTTTTCCTTTGCTTTGATTTGGATTGCTTTTTTTTTTTGTTTATACTATAAGCCTAAAAGCACTGCAGGAGTATGCACAGAAGGAGTGTAGATATTTCCTTGACATGTTCTTGTTATGCTACTCTGAATTTGGTTGTTGCGAAGTTTTCGTTTTTAGTTTTCTTCACAAGATGTTCCCACTTCCTTATGACTTTGGAGTTACTTGAAGCTACTTGACTGACCCTTGACTGACCTAATTTTGGGATGATCCTAGAAGTCTGGGAACAAAGACTGACATTCTGGATATTGCTTTTTGATAACAGTATTTACATCAAAAGTATTTATCTGCATAATTGCAAATCCACTGGTTTCCTAGGTTATTACAGCTGCATATTTCATTGCAAAATCTTCTAAAAGAAGTGAGAACAATATTTATTCCATACTTCCACCTGTCTCTCTCAGTAACATTTACTTCTGATTTCAGAAAAGTGCCAATTTTTCATTACTTTGGCCCCTTCAGTCACTTTTTTCCTAACATCTTATCACAGGCACAAACACTTTCAGCCATTCTGACTTCTGCCTAGAAGTACAGAATGTCATCCATTTGCTGTAAAGAGGTTGAGAAGCAGAGATGAAAATAAACATAATGGAACCAAGATTAAAAGCCAGTCTGGATATAAAATTTTACGTGTATTATCCCTACAGTTCAAGTTGTGCACTCAACCTCCATGTCCAGCTGGCTGCAGTTTTATGTTATTACCACTTTATCTTAGATTCTGTACTGCTGCCCATCTGACTGACCTGCATATAAGGTCAACAACATCACCCAGATCTTTACCGTTTTTTCTGTTTCCAGCACTAATTTCAGTTGATCATCATAATTCTTCTTAGATAGTTAGGTTCTTGACAGACAATACCTGTGGACCTGGTTAGGGTTTGGGTGAAAAGTAGGGGTATTTATATATAAATATATAGATATATATACTTTTATCAAAATGTAGGAGGGAGTATGGCAGCAGTTCTCATGGTATAATTACTTTGACTTCGAAAAATCACTTCTCGGTCAAAATAAGTTTACATTAACTTCGTGTAAAATGAGACAAAAATCAGTTGGGCAGCTTAACATGAGATTATATGGAATTAAGAAAACTTCTAAAAACTAACAAGCAGAACCTCAATGGGTTCATTACAGCTTTTCTGCCTCCAAGATTAACAATACCTCTCCTTCCCAGACAAAATCAAATAAGAATCCCTTAAGGGAAAATCTTAGCCAGTGAAACAATTGATTGCATTCTTCCTGATTTCAAAGTCATAAATGGATTTCACATTTGGATTTTTTAAATAACTTATCTCTGCCTCATCTATCGATTTTCATAGTGCAAATTAATGATTAAACTGAGGTCTGAAGTTCAACTGCCTGACTGAATGAGGTGGACAAATGAAGAGGATGCCAAAAAATACTATTAATTTTACAAGAAAAAAACCACAATGTTGTTTTTAAATGCTAATGCTGTTTTCAGAAGCCCAGCAGTCCAAAGTAACTGCAAAGTCAGGAAATGTTCTTTTAAACAGCTTTTTAAATAATTGAGGCATTTAAAATATTTAATAATAATTAGACCAAAATAATAATGAATTCACTCAAATGAGAGTAATTGTTATCAGCAATGCACTATAATTGCTGGAAAATTACAGTTTATGGAGTTTTGTACAGGATTCTTGTTTTAAACTATTCAAACCCATAATTTATCTGCCTTATTAATAAGAACATATTAATCTACTCCAAACAGTGACAATGGGTACTCTAGCAGAAAACAACTTGCTTCTTTCTAAAGATTAAACAAATATATACTTCCACACAGTGCAACTGTTTCATAATTGTATATTTTAAAGATTGTTTCATGAGTATGAACACAGTTTCCTTACACACCATCTACTTCGTTCTACTTTTTTCACTAAGAAAAAAATTAGTGTTATAATTATTAATCAAAGAGGGAAAGCTTTGCACATGTCTACTTTACAGAAGTCTCCTTGTGAACTGTAAAAAAAAAGGTTTCTCAGAAATTTCTTGAAGATACACTCTTAGATCACACTTGAAAATTACAGTCAAACCTTTACTGTGACCGTTTATCTTCTCCATAATTACTTCTATCCTTTTAAATTCCCTTGTTGATTATTTTGCCTTAGTTATTTTGTTTGTTCCATATTTTGTTTTTTTCTCCTTTTGTGTCACGTATATACAATTAACCTCTTTTTCTTGATAGTTGATGGTTTGATTAACAGAATTTTTTTTAGACAGATGAACAAACCTTTCAGCAATGGCATAGACTTACCTAAGACATGGGATACTATCCTTCATCATTCCTTCACATCCTACAGTGTTGGTACTGCCCGAAAGGCTCTTTAAAGAAGAAAGCTGGGAGGAGGTATCTGGAAATGGAGCATTTGTTTCTGGTTCAGGAGTAATGATATCTTCTACTTCGTACTGAAGTCGTACCTCTAATGACTTAAACAAATAAAAAGTTAAGTTATAATTTGATAAAGAAAGCTGCTGAAAGTTCTGTTATTTCCAAATAAATATCAGTAAGCCTTTTTTTTAAAATACCCCCCCACATTTATCATTATCATTTGTAGGCAAAGAATACTGTCATTTGTTATTTACACAGCCTAGCAGCAACATCAGATAGGAACTATTCATCTACCCTATGCTGGTGGAGAAATTCACAGGTATATCCTTCCATGGGTATGTTCTGCTGACTTTGATTTCAGCTTTTTACAGTAAGTGAAAGAAGAATATCAGTGTCCAGAAGTTATTATGAAAAGAGAAGTTCATCCCTCACCCCTCCAAAAATAATATTTCAGTATAAGGTGGCATCATTCAGGATAAGTGTCATGAAAATTTTCTGCCTATTGTTTATCTTCTTCACAAGCAAATTCATGAAAAGAATCATCATTAGCTCTGCCTCCTCCATTACCAGTACAACAGAGTCTCTACCAGACAGGTTTTAGCCACGATGGAGAAGCCTGACAGTGTGAATAAAACTGATAAATGAATTTTGTTTGTCCATAGGTGGGGGTCAGGAAATCAGAGATAACAGCACGGAGAGTTCCATGTTCCTTAGAATGAACCTGAGTTTGGTGGATTCTCGAAAGCAAAGTTCAAACCAGTTACCTTTTGCTTTCTTTCTGGCCTCTCTAGAAAGGGAAAAGAGACCAACCAGGCCAAACCACTCTGCAATTCTTTCCACTAATTCAGGAAACTTTAACTGAAGAGTTACTGCAAAACACAGGGGAAACTGGACAGGGAGTTAAAAATCTATATAAGTAATAATCTCAAGGAATCACAGTAAATATTGAGTAATTCTTTCTACCTCATCAATTGTCCAAGGAGATCCCCATTTTGAAAAGAATAAAAACCAAAGTACAGCCCTCAAGGAGACAAGGTCTTGGGATTACTAGCTGAACAGTAATTTCCGTGCTGGTACCTTGAAATGTACAGAAACAATTGCAGATGTAGAGACTGCAAACTCCAGTTTAATGATCTTTCACTTGGACACCATCTGTACCAGAATGAAGATTAACAAAATATCTAAGTTTTATGAGAATCAGGAGCTAAAGGTCAGTACCTGTTTCTCAATCATTGTATTAAAACATACAAGATTTCAGAAAGAAGTTATTCTGTTCAAGCAGAAAAGAAAGAGTCCTTCCTCAAAATTTCACTTTTGTTTTCTCCTTGCAAAATCCATGGATGTTTTCTGTCTGAACCAGCTAAAGAAAACTATAGACAACATTTGCCTTCAAAGACTAATGAGTGAAATATTGAGTTCAGGAAAATCTAATCTGGAAGTAATTGCTGCTGACTGAAACAATTTATAATGCTGTTTAATCTTTATGCAAGATTAGGATGGGGTAACTATTGAAGAGTATGTTCTTCTGCTTGCCAAATTAGAATTGCATCATTCTTCTTTGGATTTATTTTGTGTGTGTGTGTGTGTGTGTGTGTGTGTGTCTGTATTCCTTTCTCTACTAAAATTAATTTTTTTTAAGTTCTAGCTATCTTGCATTTGCAGAGAGAAGGAAAAATTTAGGATAATATCATGATTGTGAATTTTTCTTACATTTTTGCCCCTGCCTTGACTGATCTTAGAGAGGTTACAGAGGTGTTGTGTCAAGTTATCTTGACACACAGTAAAGATATTTTTGGACGGTTCCATCACTAGAATAATCGATTCTGCTTTCCACATTCAAATGAATGTAAATTTTTTTTCCTATGGTTCTTCTCAAGAGCTTTGAAGAGGAGCTTTACTGAGGAAAGACTGATCACTGAGAAAGTGATTATATTTAATTATTGGATGCTTTTGAGACAGGATGGAGTAGATTCAGATGAGAAAACAAACAAAACAGCAGCAAATGTTTCTTATACAACTGCATGACAATGCCTCTGAGTTTGGATATGAAGCCGAATTTGTCCCATGGATAATAGTTGCCTCAAGAATCTGATATGAAATGATGCAAACAATTCTTCTACTGAGGGAATCCCAGGCACAGCCTATGACCCTAAGGCATATTCAGCAGTAGACCTACCTGCTACATGAAGAAACCTTTGAGTAACCTCCACACTTTCCATTTACCACAGCAATAACAACACTGACATGAGCCAGTTAAACTACCGTGGGGGCCTTAAAATGCTTGGATTTGTAGACTGAACTCAAGGTAAGTTCAGACTGGCTGCTAAAGAAGGGAGGACACTAAGTGTTTTGTACCCCAGGCAGCAAAGAAATCCTGAGCTCAGTCTCAGTATAGACAAAGCCAGACAGCCTAAAGTCAGGTTCACATTCCAGTAAGGACTTCCATACTTTTGATTAAAAAAACTCCCCATCATTTAAGAGTGAAGATTTGAATGCATACAGCAAAAATGCAGGGAAGGCCCATTTCAGGGATGCACAAAACCCAGGGAAACTCAGTGACTATACCACCAAGATGGAAAAATTTAACGTTCAGAGAACAATTCTTTATATAAATGCTTATTAATTACAAAGATGAAATCTGAGAAACTGTTAAATTGCACATATTATAGCACTTTAGAAAATACTAGAAATGATGCAATACAACCAGAAAAGCAAAGGAGAGGAAAACAAAGAAATTAAATTATAGATAATGAAAGATAAGGTTTGCACTTGCTGTGGAACCATGTAAGAATATTAAAATGTAGTAATTTTAGCAGCATTATACATGGGCTGATCAGTTACATGAAATTACTGTTCATTAGTTTAAAAACTTTCCTGAAATGATATGTTCAGCCAGCTTAATAATTGACTCTGGGGGAAAAAAATAGTGGAAAACAACAGAACCGCCATAGGTAATGAATTTCCTTACCAGATGGCACATGGCTACAGTCCAAAAATGACGCAGTTTTTTTGCCACACTGGAACTTTTTAAAGTACATTAAAATAGCATGAAAAGAAAAAGAATCAGGGAACATGGAAAATATAAGGGAAAATATGGTTTTGCTGAGACCTGACAGATGCAAAGAAATACTTTCTGTCCAGAGAGTGTCTGGAGTTGCAAACTGTTCAGCACCAGAGAACAGCAAGCCTGAAGGAGAAGGCAGTCATGTTTACCTTGGCTTTGCCTTAAAATCTGTCTCCTATTAAACTTCTTACACTTAAGAAAGAATGTTTTACATTATAAATGCTACTCAGTCACATTGTTAGAAATGGCTGTGGCTCCTGTGCAAAAGGACAAGGTTTAAACTAAAGTCAGAATCACTGTTCAACAATGATAAGTATAATTTCACTGCAGTGCTGTTAAAGGAACATAGTCTGTAGGATTCTATCTGAAACAAGGTGACTGCTTAAATATGAAGACAGAAAGTGGAGTATTTTAACAGGACAAAGCAACACAATGCTTATGAAAACATCAAGTGCTTAGCCATAAATAATCTGGCATTTGATATGGTTTCCATTTTTAGGGAAACAAAGTCAGTATAAGCCAGAAAAAAAAATCAACACTTCCATATTGTTAAACCTACTGATAATTTTCAGTCTCCTTATAGTACAAAGACTATGAACACAAATTAAGGAGATTAAATACTTGACTTAAAAAGAGCATTAGGCATGTACACAATGAGCATTACCTGATAAAAACATACAGCAGCCAGTAATTTTAGAGCAGGTAAACACAACAGAGTCTTAAAGGCAAAGTATGTCTGAAATCTGTACTGTATGTTACTATTAAAGCAACCAAAAAGGTGGAGAGTTGGCTTCCAAAACCTCAGATTTTTGTCAGTAGCTTCAGTAGGATCAAGACTTCACTGAAAAGGTTTAAAATGGAACGTCTTAAGCCTGTAGTTATACAGCTTGATGTTTTTATTCAAGTACATGAGCACAGATAAAGCAAGGCAATTTGATTTAGAAATTATGTTCTCTTAGAGTGAAATTCTGAAGTACTTACTGCAATTTCAGTATTTACTTCATGTTTGCTGAACCTGTAAACAATCACATATGCAGAAACTCCTGCCACACAGAAAATTCGGCTTTCAGGACACCAGTACATCATCTGAACAGCAAAAGGATCTTCTTCCACAATCTCAGCTGTTGCTTTTCCTTCTCCCACTTTCTGTTTTTCAAAGACCTTTGATGTTTTTAATTTGTACAACATCTGTAGAGTAACTGGAATATATTAAAACATATAAAAATACTAACATGAAGCACATCAGTTATACAATTCCTCAATTCCCACTTACTTAGTTGTGGAATAACAAGGAATCTTAGGAAAGCCTAAGAGGAGAAGATGCCTATTACACAATACAGATATTATTCTGATACACAGTACTGGTAGGACATGAATCTAATACTTCACTAAAGGACATTTATCTGTGAAATACTTCTTAGTACTTCCTGGGACAAGATGTCAAAGGTATATTTTAACCACGCTGTCCATAATTAGTCTTATATTCAGTGTCATAGAGAGGCTCTGATAACGTTGATATTTTCCCAAGGAGATATGAGACTAAGATTCTATTTGTCTGATGTTATTATCTTTGCTAGAATGCATGGAAACTCAAGAAAAAATAGCAGGAAATCATTCCAGTGGCCTGGTCTATACAAAGCCTTTCTTAACTAACAGGAGTTCAAAAATGTTTTGAATTTCATGACTAATAAGTATATCTGTACTTATACCTGTATAAAAAATCCTAATATACAGAAGCCTTTGTCAAGATTAGAACTCCACTGCAGTGAATTCTGGAGGTACAATAATTACCCCATTATGTTTTATTGACATTCCTCCCTGTTGTTATTAATTTTCCATTTGTTTGTCAGTGGCATTAATTAATAACTGCACAAGGTCAGAAAAAGTCAGTCAGGCCCAGCACCTATAAAGGCATGTATATCCAAAAGGGCAAAGCTGTTCCATACATTTGTGTAACTGTGGTAGCTCAGCCTCGCTAACCTGTGTAACAAGAGCAACAGGAAGATGAAGGACCGGTGTTTTAGTTATGTAACCAGATGATGAACACAGCAAAACTACATCTTCATTTGGCAGTGCAGATATATTCCAGGAGGTTCAGCATAACATTTTTTTAATATTTTTAAAAGTTTTAGCACACAAAGCACTACCAAACGTTCACAAATTACGGCTTCTATAATAAACACATAATTCTTCCTGCCCTAAGAGGCAGTGAAAGAGGATTCAGGATGCCCTTAGTCCCAGTGGCAAATCTAGAGTGGCACTTCAAATCAGGCATCGCGGGTCCATGCATTGTAGGACTGGAAGAGCTACAGAATCATAGAGCACAGTCTAAGCTTCTCTGAATTACTGAGTGCCATCTGCACAAGGACAAATGAGAAACAGCAATGGCTTCTGAGCAAAGATACATTTGGATAAATCCCAGTCTCTCAAAAATCTGTGCTTTCAGATACAAAACTACGCAATTAAAATACATCTAAAAGCAAAGTATTTTGTGCCTTCTAATACAGGTAGGATATTTTGTTTGCTAGAAAATCTCAAATTATATTGAACTCCATTAAAAAAGTTAAGACCTTGTAAATACTAAAACTTCTTAATAATTAATACCTTGTAAATAAAAAGTACAAAGTATGCTATGAGTAACACAGTACAAGCCCTGAAAAGCAAGACTAAGACCAGGACATCAGAGATGCAGTGGTATTTTCAGTGAATATTCATGATCATCTAAGCTTTTATCATTTAGAAAAATTCCTACTGCAGCATGTATATACTGATTAGGGCGTTATGTTTATATTCCCTATGAGAAGTTTTTAATTTCTCCATTTCTGCCAGAACTATAGAAGAGGTATCTAGCACACTGGTTCCTGTGCAATATATATGGGGTCTTCCAGCAGTCAATATTGTTTCACTCTTACTTCAGTGCCTGTAGTTGCACATTCCTGTTAAAAGTGTAAGTATGTAATGAAATATTCACAAGACAAGGTCTAATGTCTCACTCTACTTCTCTAAATAAAAATAATTATCCTACTTTGGATCATATTAAAGCTCTCTCAAACTTCTGTCTTTGCTAATAAACCGTTAACCTTGTTTGATTGTGGTTTTTTTTTTGGTGTTCACCATAACTTGGAAATACTGGAAGATGTAAACTCCAAGTACATCTATCTGATGTACATTTCCAAAATGACAAGTTATATAATAAAAAAAACAACCCATAGTCGTGTTCAGTTGATGTACCTATGCAAAATACTTCTGTGAAATGAGGTTTTGGAAATCCTCATATTCTCCTTGCCCATCCTGATGATTGAAAATATTTGGTATTAGGCAAAAAGGGATTACCTGACAGAGTCATCACGTTTAGCCGACATTAAAATCTTGTAAACGCTCCCCATATTTGCAGCATTAATCACTACAATTCTGTGGCACAATGTGGAGCAAGCAAGTGGTTTGAGTATCTCATAACCTACAATCTTGTCACCCCTTACAGACTGATTATTAGGGTCATATTAAATCTCTCTACGCCTAACATTTCATACAGGATTTTCTTCCACACTCTCTTTTCCCTAAGAGACTGAAAACTCCTAAAAGAGATATTCTACCCAGACATCCCTGTATGTCTGAAGAGACAGAAGACAAGGCAACTCTAAAGGATCTTTGGTAAGTCACAGTCACATTATTTGAAGAAGAATATTTTAACTTTCAACTAAAATGTATGTGTGTTTTTAATAAGTACATTTTACTGAGAAGTACCATATGTGTTTTCTGTAGGGGAAAATGCTGGTTTCTGATATGTGTAGTTATAGCCACATGGCACAGAAAAAGCATTTTCTGAAGCTTTTTCCTGCTCTGATGAATGGAAATGCTTCCCAATTATTTACTGGGACTTGAGACTGGACAAGAAAAGATTTAGGTCTTTTCCACCCTCAGCAGATTACACATGTATTGACATGCATTATTGTATTCTAATATTCTAATTTTACTTAGTTGTAAAAAGGTCATTGCTGAACTCAGAATAAAAGAGACATGAGAACTGGAACTGAATACTAGATCTAATTAAACCCACTCTTCTATAAACACAAGAAGAATGTGCCCTAAAGATTTTTTACTAGCACTTCATTCTTTATAGGTTTTGGTATATTGGATCTTGACTCATTATGCCTCTTAAATACTTTCACTCTTTTCTACCTTCATTAACAGCATTCTTTTCCCTTAATTTAATAAAAATTTTCAAAATTTCACCTCATTTTTCTTAAGTATTTCAGCCCAAGTATTACTACTCATACTGTTCAGTATTATGTTATATATATATATATATATATATGTGTGTGTGTGTGTGTGTTTGTGTGATTTGTCAGCATTATATAAAAGTGAACTTTAGAAACTTACTGGCAGAAGCATCCCAAAATTTTACTGATCCATCTGCATGGCTTAAAAAAAATATAAAAATGAAATGTGTTAAAACAATATTCAATTATAAAACATCATCTACTTTCAGTGATTGATAAATATAAGCAGAAAAACTGCATTTTGTTCATGTGGTAACTCTCTTTACCTTACTTACCATATATTAACAATATACATACTAACTATAAGAAAATGTTTTGCTTGATTTGGTTAATAAAATATTTTTCATGCATTTCCTACAGAGAACTAAGCACCCAATATATTTTAAGATCTCAACAATAAGAAATTATTTCCTATACTAATGACAAGTTTAAGTTACAGCACTTCTGGCTTTGCAGTGGGACAGCATCAAGCACCCTAAAAATGCCATGTATAATGAACTTTGAAAGACAAAGGGTAACTCTCTTTTGCCTAATACCTTACAGCTGTATTCTTTTTATTAACATAAAATCCCTGAAGTAAACCTGGAGAAAGGAGACATTTCTGATAAAATGAGAATGATCCCTTCATCAGCTTATAGGTACTATTGTAATGTTACTTTTAAAAGCAGGAGTTCAGTATCACTGATAATAACAATTTATCATAGATATTGCTATCTTCAGCATGGCTGAGAGGGTAATACAGTGTGCATCTTAGATAATTAGCTTCTGTTTTACAGTATGGTCCCTTGAAAATCCAGCAGGCATTGTTCACAGGGCTCCTACTTCAATCTTTCTGAGCCTTTCTATGACTTTTTGCTATGGGTCTCCACTCACAAGGCGAAATTCATCCTAAAGCACCACACCTTCAGTAACTCTGGGTATCAAAATGAATTCCTAAACTGTCCCCAGACACAAATTTCCCAGAAGGTCAAAGGACAACAGCCAGAGAAAAACAGCTGCTCCCCTTGTTAAAGCTATTCTCTATGACCTTGAAGGCCCAAAATATTATCTTGCAATTGATTTTCCTTTCCAAAGACCCCAGCTTCATAAGAATACAGACTTGCTGTCTGACACTGGGGCCTCAAGTGGTATATCTTCATAGTAACTTGTCCCTGAGTACTAAGTTCTGTTTTTTACAGCAAAAGAGAATGTCTGTGGTGACACTGCTCACATGAAGAGCCAGGATAAGTGAACTCTGTCAAGGCTCAACTCTTATCTGTAGCTAACTCTCAACAAAAAGGAGTAGACACTAACATTTCAGAAGTATCAATCCCCAGTTTCATTCTCACCCTGTAATAATGATTTCTGGATATGTCTGAGCTCCAAGGTTCCACGCTCCACCACTGATAGGCCATTCCTAAACAAACAATGAGAGCACAGAGATCACAACTAATTCTTACGAACCTTGCTTGGTTAATTTTTAAACTCAGGAGTAGACAACATCTTCACCCAAAAAGAAATACAACTCGTAAAAGTAACAAAAGTATGAATTATTTAAGGCTTTTTCAGCTTATTAACATTTTTGTGTTATCAATTCAGGCTTTGGAAACTTAATAACATTTTTATATTATCAACTAAGGTTCTATGTTTTTAAAATATTTCTGCACAGATAACATTCAACAATCTAAACTAGGAATGAGAGGAAGGAGTAACAGACAGTTCTGCTAGTCTTTTGAGGTGTCTTGTCTCTGAAAGTTTCTATAGAACACTGAAGAGAGAATCTATTTTGAATATGAGGACAACTGAAGAAGATGACCCAGAAACAAATATCGGAGCATGGAGCGATGAGGTAATGGAGTGCAACTTTTATAGAACGTGTGAAATCACCATCTCTTCTCTGCCTTTTGTTTATTTGTGGCAAGACTCCCATTCTCTTCTTGGTCTAGGTGGAGCAAAATGCTGTTTTGTGCCTAAAGTATGACATGTATGGACACAGGATACAGGATGTGGAGGATGACGTATGTGCAGAGTGGGTGAGGACGTGTGCAGAGTCTGAGTGGGTGGAGAAAAACTGGGAGGGCAAACTGTTTATTTGGATACATGGCGTGGATGCTTGTGGGTACAGAAATGGGTGGCTGGCATATGAGTGACTCCCTACCTTCAGGGTATGTATCTGTATGAGCACAAATAAAGCAAGGGGTCAAGTGAGTATGCAATGAATACAGGTAGGTGGTGAAAAGTACATGAGGTAAGAATATGAGGTAAGGATAGACTCAAATAAGAGAAAAAAAGTGTTTTCTGAAGTACTTTGCAGAGTAAAGATACAAAAGAAGTAGTGAGGGCTCATTTTCTGAGTTCATGGAAAATAATGCAGCTCTAAGGAGAATACGTCTGATGATTTGAATAGAAAATTGATGATGTCGTGAGTTGTTTACCCCATTTTTTTTTCTAATTTATTTCTTATGATGGATTAGTTCTAGCCAAAATACAAACCAGATTAAAGCTTGAAATTTATAAATGAATTGCATTTCCTCTTCTTCTTTCTGCAGTTTGTCCTATTTCTAAAAGCATTATGATAAGACATCGGTAGCTCAGTAAAATAATATCCTTATTTAATAACAAATCTCACAGACATGCTGTCAACCCTCACTGAACCTCTTCTGCTTAAGTCTTTCAGTTATAACATTTTGACTTTTTTCTTTGATAGAGATAGCCCATCCATACATATCTGATTTGTACATGATGATTTTCCTTCAACTCCATCTGATCTGGAATAACTCCAGCAGCCTGAAGTTCTGTATAATGCTAATTAACAGTTGTGCTCAAGTGGTGGTGTTTCTGAGGGACAAATACCAGCCTGTAAACATGCTGCTAAACTGCTGCTTGGACTAACTTGAAAATAATTATTAGAGAAGTAAAATGGAAATAGTTCAGTAAGATGTTACAAAAACATAGGTTATACATCTACTTCCTTTGCTTAAAAAAAATATTGATTTTATTTACCTTATTGCTGTATCCTTGCTTTTTATGTTTTGCTCCTACAGAATAGAGTACAGGAATCAAATCTGGAGGACAGTCCGCAAAATATTCTGTGCAGGTAACAGGTGACTCATGAATGTCAATAGGATATGGATTTTCAAAGATTGGAAAACTAGTTAAGGAAGACAATTTATTAGAAGCACTGTCACACTGAGTCATAGAATAAAACATATTCTTATATTAAAGAGAATAACAGAAACCAAGTAAAATCATTACGAATGAAATACATTTTCCCTTATTTATTCAAACTTATGTATGTAATGTCAGTAATAATGTGTAGTTACGCAAATAAAGATATTAAAATTCCACTGCCGTGACAAGAATTCTCTTGTTACATAAATACCCAGTCATGTGAAAAGTCCCTAAGGCTAATAGGGCTACTTGTGTCAATGATAATTAAGAACTAGTTTTTTTCCAACATCTCAAAATCTTATTTATACAGAAGTGACACATTTTCTAGAATTTTGAGATTCATGGATATGATATATACTATGATGTAAGACCTCCTTATACAACTTTGGATTTTATATTGAGCAGCTTAGCTTATTGGGTTGCTAGACTGTTGATTCTACAATGAAAAACTTCAATAACAGATGAGTAGATCTCAGTTTGTTCCTCACTTTCATCAGTTTGAATGATCTTATAAGGAGGAAGGCCCCACTTTTGGTGCACTGCAAAATGTTATTTGCAACTGAAAAATATTTGGTTCTCATTTCAGTTATGTCCATTTTACATTGCTGAGATAATCTGAGCACGATTCACTTTAAATGTTTAACAACATCATGGGCAAAATCTGTTCCTATCATTGTATAAGTGTGAACATGGATGTACATGATAGTGTTATAGACAGAACAAAATAAATAAGAATTGGATTTACATGATATTTAGTTTCTCTTTGATAAGAACATTGAATCTGATATGAAAGAACCATTTGTCATTTAAACCAGCAACTGGATCAGGAAATAATGCTGTAGATCTATGCAAATCAATGCCACTATTTATTAAGATACTTAAGTGGGTGGATCCTGTGGAGTCTATTTAGGCATGGGTATAAGTAGAAGCTGAATCTGATTTCCAAAACATATGTTCAGGTCATAATTCAGCATGCGACCAAGTATTGCTTAACTTTGGTGCTGAATGAATGTTTGAGTACTATGCTGAAGGGACTGCAGATTGAGATTTATTCCAAAGATTACGAACAAATATTATAATAAGCTCCTGTTGATTAGGTGATCTTACAGTGGAAGTAAATATTTAGAAATAATTTTTTCCAAGAGTGAATGATTTTGGATAGCAAAAAGACATCACATGATAACATTTGGAATTTTATGATAATTTGCTGGACAGTTAAACACACAAATAGGTTCATATAAAACTTCATACTTACTTGCTTTGTGTCAGGTCAACGACAATGAGATCTTTTTCCAAAAGCACAACTACAGCATAGGGTTCCTGAAATTCTGTAAGCAAGGAATCAAGTATGTAAGGCATGGAGTTCTCCTACTAGTCATTTTAAGCTAGCAAGTCATATTTATGTTCTCCAGACTTTCACAGTATATTAGAAGTTTAAAGGTATAAATCCTCGACACATGCAAAAACTAGACAAATCTGGAAACTAGGGCCAGACAGGAAGTAAAAAAATAACTTTTGGGTAGTATTGTTGACCAACATACAAAGCAGAAATAAAACTGGAATCTTACAGCCTGCCAGCATGATTCTATACTGAAAGTAAAGAAACAGAGTATTGATAAATTGTGTGTATCATTGCATTGATAAAGCCATTTTTTGCTGTCCAGAAATAATACTTCTACTGTGTACAACTGCACTTCAAAATTATATTGTGCAGTTGACTTTATGATACACGATGCTCCCATTTCCAAGATTGATTCCAAGGGAATATTCCAAGGGAATATTCCAAATGAATCCTGTAAGTCTGCAGTGTTCAGTTCAAGTACTGACATGCTCCTTCCTCCCGCACACTCTTCAGGAGATTATACAGTTTGGTTTTTTATTTGATTCTCTTTCCATTTACCAAAATTAAACAATTAAAATGACAAATAAATGCTTCCCTTGGTGTATTAGTTTACATAGGATAAAAGTTATTTAAAAATTATAAATGTGAAATTATGAATCTTTTTTCAACAGCAACAAATCAATCCAGCATGTGCAAGCTGAGAATACACTCTTCAGATTGGCGATGCCAAAATGATGAGTAAATGACAGCAGCTGATTCAGCTTCCTTTCAGTCTTGCTAAAAATGCACATTACTTTTTGCCTGCTTTTATGCAAGGCTATGAATAACACAGGCTAAACCAAAATGTTTAAATATTAGTTTGCAAGCAGGTGAAGATGCTACAAAATCTTAGCACTGGGAAGTATATGACACAGTTAAATGAAAGCTCAAACTAACTTTGATTACTGAAAATTAAATTTTTGTATGCCATTGAAACAAATATATACTTTATCTTTACTAAGTGTATTTAATATGTACTTGATTTAGCTATGGATATAAGATTTATTTTACTTTTTTGCTTGAGGGTTTAAAATGCTAAACTTTGCTTGGTTTTGACTTACAGCTTCTCTTAATTTACTTTCTGGAATTTTCTGGGAATATACTTCAGAATGTGGGCAGGCCCACAATATGCAGCAAGCATTTTTAGCAGTTCGTTTCATGCTGAACTGTAAGAACTTTTTTGCAGATAAGTGATAGTTTAATCTTCAATAATTTAGCACTCTGTAGATTTTCAGCATCGTGAAAAATGTCAGAAATATAAGCATATATGTTTGATTAATACCAGTATTTCCCCACACTAGCCCTTATGTTTCAATCTTATATGAGATGATTTATGCATGCTTTATTGTCCACTCATCACTTTCTTCCTATATTGAGAATGCAAACAATTTCCAGGTAATTCCAGTCATGCAGTTTTGTTGAGATGAAGATAAATGTGAGAATCGAAGTCCCTGGAATGAAATTAATGTATGAGAAAGGACAACTTCATTTATTTTTTCCATAATTGTATTTTTCTTAATAAACTCACCATTTGGATACGGGGTTTCACAAAGAGTTAAAAAATCAACTATAGGGTGATCCATTTCAAGAACTGTAATTGCTTTCCCATGCATGATTGTTAAACTTGGTCTTCGACAAGGCTTATCATATGACAATCCACCAGAAAATATCACAAATGGTTCACTGTATTAAAAACAACAACATAATAGTTATAAGTCTACATAGGTCATAAAGGTTTACATTACAGGTTTAGTTTTCAAATAATAATAAATCGCTTTGCAGAAAGAAAGTAGGAAAGATTCTGAAAGGACTTTAACTCAGGAATGTAATATTGAGTTAATTGCAAAATGAAAAACAAACCTGTTTTTACAGGTCTTGTACTCTACTTTTAGAATTGGTTTACAAGATTCAGGTTTTTTCCCATCTCTTTGAACTTTTCCTAAAGAAAGAAAGAAGATGAAAACTCTATTAAAATGTCATGATAATAGAACTATCAAACTAAAACATACACATTGAAGCAACTGTATAAGCCGTAAGAGAGCGGAACTTTAAAGCTACAGAGGATGCTGAGTGTTAGCTCCTATTTCTGTAAAGTATGCATTGCCTAAATTATTAACATTTATTATGTCTCTGTGTTTTTCTGCCACATACCTCTAAAGGACTATATGCCACACTTCAAAAACACCTTAAGCCCATGCAGATTACTGAGGGTTGCACTTAATTAACAATTAATCAATTAGACTAATTGTACACTTTCTTTTCTGAACACATTATGACCATAAACAGCTTAGTTTTTTCCCTAAGCCTTCTTAGATTAATGCAATTCCTTTGGTTGACAAAATGCTACAATGCTTCGGAGTGTTACCAGTTGAGTGATAAAATTAAATGAAGCATACAATTGAAATTCTTTGGCTCAGGCCTGTTTTACCTAATGGTTAGACTAGATGACCTCTCAGAGGTCTATGAGTAAAAATCATAAAATAGAAGGAAATCTAAGAAAATGCTAAATCTTTTTGGGGCTACATAGGTCTTGTCTTCTCCTTCTTCCTCCCTTTCCACCCAGTCAGGTTTCATGGTAATGTATTGATTTGCAATGGAGTCAATACTTTTTTGCCTCATTCGTGGGAAGCAATGGCATATTAAGTCCCAGGCATAAAAGGTACAGTCCATTTCCTAATATGGCTCATTTATTGCAGTTATTTGGGAAACCTTGTACCATCACCATGACGAACAACACAGTGCCTTGCACAAAATGTATTAACTTCTTGTAAAAATTGCACGCGAGCACATAATTACAAAATATAAAGAAAGAAATGCGAAAATCCCTGAGGGTCTCGCAGACAAGCAGTGGACTCTTAAAATGAGTTGGATAAAAGAGCCATTTATGACACGAATTAAAAAAAAGTTTTATCTAAATCGCTGATTTTTATAATAATTTGCAGCTACTATGCAAGAAGCAACTCTGGATCTGGGCTACAGTGAAAAATCAAATAAACAGAGGTATTATCAAACAGCATTGAGAACACTGTATTGCTTCTTAGTTACACATTTTCACTATCAAAATTACCATGTGGAATTGTGGTCTGGAATGGTCTGTTAGGACTTTTCAGATTCCATAGGGTCAAGCTGCCATCAGAGTGACTGCACATGAACTGTTTCCCTTCATGATGCCAAGCAACAGAATGAATAGCCTACAGGAATTAAAGAAGAACTTGAAACTGAAACAAAATACAGTGTTTACAGTAAAGATGTAAGACTTTGGATTATATTAATCTAATGGTATATGAAGAGTTGCAGGGTTCTTGTTTGTTTGAAGTCCCCTACCATCACTTTCTAGCAACCAATGGCTGTAATCCACAATTCACTGTAGAGGTTAACACAGCACAATAATATAAGGAAGCCTTAAGTAAATTAGACCAAAATTGAAGGAATAGGGTATTAAGGTAAAAGTATAAGAAAAAGGGACATACAATGCAATTGTAATATGTGTGATAGCTCCCCTCAGAAGTATTTAATCTGGCAAATTTACAGAAAATTCAGTGTAACAAGTTTTACAGGTAACATACAAAACACGCAGTCTTCCCCAGAGGACATAGTACACTGTTCTTGAACAGTTTCCACACATACACTCACATACTTAAATTGCAGAGCAAGTACACAGAAATCTGTGATGCTTAATGTAAAAATCAAAACAGTATATAGACCAGGATTGTTTCACTGATCTAGGAAATTCCCAAAACAATGATGTGGATATTATTGAACAGATAGTGCATCAGAGAAGAGGAATATTGCACACTGCAAGTACCACAAGATGAATATTACGAACGCCAAAAAGCAACACTTGAAAAATTACCAGACCATTCTCAATATTTTGTGCATAATTAGTGGAACTGACTGAAAATATCTATTTACATCAAACTAGCTGAAAGGATAAGGGTGTAAGTCCTTTACTTTCACTGGTATGTGCTGCAAATAAACAAAAGCCATCTTCTGACAAAACATTCACTGTATAACACAGTTTCTCACACATTCCCTACAGAAGTACAAACTCACAGAAGTCTCCCTTGAATCCATATCCCTTCCAGAAATGTTCGCTGCCAAATAGCAAAAAACACAATATGTTTTTATGTAAATGCAAATAAAAGAGACCTATTTTTGAATACAGTTTGAGAAATTTCCTCTTTTTTTCAACCTAGGAAATGCTAAGGCCTTGCATGCACTTACAAATGCATAAAGCCATTTACCTGACCTATTCAAATCACTTCAAAATCATGCCTGGGTGTTCATAAGTCAATATTGCAGTTATTCACATCAATTTTGCTCTAGCTGACAAGAAATAAAACTAAGTCTACTGGTCACTATTCAAAAGCCCCTGTTGGTCTTCCTCATTAAGCAATTACATTGATTGTTATGGTCAGTTATGGCTCATGGTCTGGCAGGACTATCAGCAGAAACAGACAAAAGAGCTGCAACCTCTTACTTTTCTCAGCTCCTGAGGCTGGACAGCATGGCCACAAATGCATTTAGATGATCTAGATGCTTTAATAGGAATCTGACATGCCTTGTGTATGAATGCCTGACTAACATACTAGGTAAGATAGTCATGACAAAAAAATACTCAAAACCCAGAGCTTAACAAACTCTAGATGTTTATCATCAGGTATCACTCAAACTTCTACCTGCTAGAGGGGGGTTGGCACACAGTTCTTCTTAAAGACCCAGAAGACACCAAACTAACTGAAACAACAAAGACAACACGGGAAGATGGTTCATACAGAGTCCAATATTGTTGCCTTCAGGTAGGAACAACCTTGGATCCGTGGGGAGCACTGCTTCACTTACACTGAAGGCATGTCTATCCTCATGCAAATTAATTCTGACATGAGCTCCTTCATGCTTGCTATTGTGCCAAATTTGGATCTGGTTTTGATATGCTATCACAGCTAGAAACATTTCACATGGCTACAGTCACTGTGCCTGAGCAGGAGCTAGTAACTAGCATCTGAAAACTGTAACAAGCTGCTTGTTAAACTGCCTCTCAGCTATGGGGTGCACCCTGCCAGCACAAACCTCCTGTGAAGTAGAGCTGAGGTGGAATGCTCCTGTCACAGACAGCTGGCATAGAAGCAACTCAAAATGACCTGTTAGACTTTGCCTTGGCATGGGCAAAAAAACCATAGAATCAATTCTGGAGGTCTCAGCTGGGACTCACGACTAATACGGAAAGATGGCACTGAGCAAGTCCCAAATTTTCTCTCTGCTAGAATATGTCTAGATTCTGATCCACTTTGTTAGCATCCACACATAAAAAGAGCAGTTATTTGCTTAGAAGAGAAGTTCATCATGGTGGGTGACTCATGTGAATGTTCACACAGTGTATGCACATAAAGCATACCACTCCAGATTGGGTATGTTTCTTCCTCTGCAATACTCGCAGTGGTTGTTGCATACAAATTCCATCTTCTCTCTTACACAGCATGCACTAAAATTAAGTGCGCCCAACACCATTTCAGTTCCTTCCCAATCACAAACCCTCTTTACTGAGTAGAATTCAGCAAAGAGTCTTTAGGACCACTTTTAGCCATATTTTGAACAAGAACTATACTGATCTTACCTTATTGTTTCAGTGTTAAAAATCCTTTGTGTTAGTAGTACTGCAGGACCATTACAATAAAGGCCACATCTGATTTGATATTCTAGAGTGGCATAGTGTTTGACAAAGGTAGGGAAATGTCATTTGGCAAATGTCTCCGAGAACTCTGCAGCTACATTTTGGAGATGTGTTCCAATGAAAGATGGTGACTGTTTCAGAAAGCTCTGAATGTGTGTTGACACAAACTTTCAAAGTCTGCACATGAAGATGGCTGTTTTTTAGGGTCTGCCAACTATCAATAACAACTTGAGAATCCTCTGAAAGATCTGTCTTGTTTATGTGCTCTCTTTTTATACCAATTGATGAAAATTAATTTTTGAAGAAAATTACAAAAGGGCTTGCAAGCAAAGCCTTTTATAGAGTGCATCATGTAGGAGCATTGATTGGAAGAGCCTCACTATTTCATACATATCACCACTGAGAAGATGACAGTCATCACACAAAGGCGATTTCCAAATGTCAGAAGTCAAGCGGGTGAGGCAGAAGGCCAGGTTGGCTGAACAAGAATCTTCTCTTGGAGACAAGGCAAAAAGGAAGGTGCATGCCCGGTGGAAGGAACGTCAAGTGACATGGGAAGAATTCAGAAACGCTGTTTGCTACCTCTCTCAATGATTTTTGAGGGGTCTTGGTAATCCAGAGAGGTCCCACATGACTGGAAGCTGGTGAACATTGCCCCAGTTTTCAAGAAAGGCAAGAAGGACACTAAAGGCCTGTGGTCGAAAAGAAGTATCTAAATTCATGAGATATGAAATTATTCCTCCCTATCACAACTGAATGTCAGCAGATTAAGTCCCCATCTTGCACTCAAAAAGGAAGAATATTTAGATTTGTAGACAGACAATTAGCAACTTTCTTTCTTTTTCCCTATCAAAAAGTACCTGCTTCTCATTTCTGTGCTGCACAATGACAGGTTCTATGGAACTGAATAACAACAGAGAGTCTCCTTCTCAATAGCTGGCCTGGGAAGACTGAAATCCAATGCTATAAAGCGTAACACAGGACAAATCCAGTTGAGGTTTGACCCTGAGAAGGGATGAGTATTTGGATGGAGCCTTGAGGGTGCTGACATGTCTTTTGAGTGACATTACCAAACTGTAGAGCTACCTGAAGAAGACTACAGAGAAGAAAGAACTTGCCTCGGTGAATAACACTGACAGTCCATCAAAGACAAGAAAATAAGCTGTTACTCACAGTACACACCAAGTGCTAATCAAGAAGCCTGCTGCCAAGGGAAATTCTGATACTAAACAGAAGAATTAGCTCCACTTATAAGCCAGAAAAGATAGTGCCATCTGATGATCATTTAAGATGCCAGAAGAGGAACTGGTGAGTTAGATGAGATCTTCAGTTCTTTTAGCATCAAATGGGGTGACCATACTGGTTTCAAAACTGATGCTAAAGAAAGTATAATGACAGTGAGAAAAATGAGGGTGGACTAATTTTCTTCAGAACTCATGCAAAGAGGCACTTTGGTATTTAATGAAGATACAGAACATTTATAGTAATTTATCTGAGACTTCACAGAGACCCTGCAACTGGCTGGCTCAGTGCCAGAAAAATATTGAAAGATTGGTCAGGCATCATGAGGCACACAGGGTGCATCAGTCCAGAGAGCATGGAGAAAGGGAACAGGAACGATGATTTCTGGACTGTGATCTTTGATGACCAATCCATAAGATGAGGCTTAGGTCTGAAAACTGGGACTGATGCTAAATACCAAGTGGCACATGCCAAACAAGTAATTTGTGACTCACAGAACCTATATTACACAGGATTTAAAAAAGAACCCTTCTTAGTGGCTCCCTAAGGGAATCATAGCATATCTGGAATACTATGAACATGGAGCCTGAAAGTCTGGAATATGGTTAGTCACACAACCCTTTTAAAAACAAAATAAGAATCTTGCAACTATTTCAGTAGATGATAAGAAGCCAGCACAAGTTGCACAAAGTGGAGTAATGACACAGCAAGTAACCGCTGAGGAGGAAAGTACAGGACTGACAGAAAGGCCAAAAGAAGTTCCTGAGGACACTACTGAAAAATGTGGATCAACTAAATTGCATGAGAAATTCTCAACACTCAACTACCCTGTCTCAACAACGAAAAAGGAAACAGTGTTACAAAGATCCTCTTTTATGTAGACTGATTCTGAATACAAGAGAGGAAAGCTGATGAACAGACACACACCTGAGTCTCCCCCAGGAGACCTGTAAAAGCAAAGAGTTGTCCAGCCTCAAGCAATAGAACAGGTGCAATTTCACAAGTGTACACAGAGGCAGACTGTCACTTAGAGACAATTTAGTGGGCATGTCTAGAAGCTTAAGTGCTGGCTTGTTCACACTCTGTCCTTTAAAACATTTGCTATGTGGGTGCTCAGAAACTTAATCTTGAAGCTCACAGTAGTTTCAATGTGTCTCTGAAAGCAGGCTGAAAGAGTACAGGATTCAGATGCATTAATATTACCTTTTAGAGGGAAGCAAATGTGTATACTCCTTACACATAATGAAGTGACAAGGTGAAGAAGAGAAGAGAACTACAGGAAACCAATTACTGCTTGGATCACTTAAAAGAAAATGTCCTTTTCTACCTTCAGTTGTAGTTGCATTCACATTCACCCATGGTGAACTTTAGAGAAGGACTGGCAGAACAAAGCACATTTTTCTGTTGAGCTAGTGCTAAAATCACAATTACTAGGAATATATGCATTTTGGAAACAATTATGCCAAGTATAATTTTTTAAAACCATTTAATACAATCTTAAGTAGTAGGTAATATCAATAGTTGTACAAATATTTTGTCTTTCATTCTAAATAATGTTCTACATAGTAAAGATACTTCTGTAATTCCTTATGTAGCTATATCTCAGGTCAGCTCATTGCTACACTCTGTTCAACTGAGAATACCCACACAGAAGCTGATGAACTTGTCAGAATCAAGAGGAAGAGATTCTGTGTCGTAGTACATCCATGAGAGCCGAACCCATCAGAACTAGAGATTTCAGGCTTTGATTTGTACTGTCAATAATTTGCCCAAAAGCATAGCACAAACAGTATTTCCAGAACCAGCAATGCCTTAAGACAAATATACATCTGCTTGGTAAGACATAAGCTGCCGAAAAACGGATTTTCTGAATTAATGGAAATTGCTTACCTCATCATAATAAGCTCTCAGATCAGCTCTTTTAGATCGTAAGTCCCAGAACACGACAGTCCCATTTTCATAGCCTATCAACAGCTGGAGGAGGGAAACAAACACAATTACAGTTTCTGAATCAAAAGGTATATACAGATATTGAAAAGAAATGCCAAAGTGATGTGCAAGATTGTAATCTGCTCTACATATAATACCTTCAAATTATCTTTTAGTATAAACTACTTCACATTACTGACAATTTAACATGTGATACGGGAAAAAAATTGGCTTTCTACACCTTTTTTTTTTTGCCTTGGAAGATTATGTGCCTGGACAGTCTTCATAATTGCATATCTGCTGAAAAAATAAGATTGTAGGAAAATACTTGACAATCACTTAAATAACTTCAAACCAAAGTGTCACCAGATGAAACTGTCATTCAGCTACTTCTATTCCTTTAATTTATGCCTTCTATTGCTTAAAAACATTTTGAAGAATTCTTCCAGCAAAAGAATAAATTGCTTGATTTCCTAATAATTAAAAATTAATTAATTGATATGCCAATTTTTACCTCTTTATACCAATTTATACCTGTTCTTCTAGAACAGGTATATCATATCATTGCGCACACCTCAGAAATACCAGCAAAGAAGATCTGAGAAAAGATGAATGAGTAGAAAAACAATGCTCAGGAGAAAAATAAGAATGAACACAATCCTTTCTCCTTGTCTCCATTGAAAAGAACTGAAATATTGATCTGGCACTGTAGAGTACTCTTCATTTGAACACAATTAATTTCAGATCTTATGGACGATATGAAGTCTAGCCTACTTATGTGTCCTGGAAATTGTTTCCCATAGAGTCTATCTTCCTAAGAATCTATCCTGGAAATGACCAAACTGGAAGACTCACACATTTCTGCTGTAGAATATTTTATACAACTGGCAGTGATAGCTGCAGTTGTTCACTGCCTATAGACATGTATCACAGAATGCAGGCAAGAATTTACAGTTTCTATATTAAGAATTTGAGCAGAAGAATGACAAGATTATCTCCTAGTCAGTGAAAGTTTAACAGCATCTTTGCTATCACTCACTTTGGCTTGCATAAGCCATAAAAATGAAACTTGGCTGGGTTGCTAAACAAAACATCACTTTTTTTCCAAGTTAAGTGTGACAGATACATCATACTGCTACAGAAGAGTCTGGGAATACTCTCAGTCCTACTGGATATGATTCTTTATATTGCCAGGAGAATATTCCTTATGTGGAGATGTAGTAGCTAATCTGACAATGACTTACAGTTAATACCTGAATATGAACAATACCTGATTACTTAAGAGTTATGCTCCTGAAAAAAAATTAAACTGTGCTGGAGAAATTCCAGAATATTTAGCATTTTTGCTCTGTATGGCTTCATGTGGGATTTTGTGGCAGAGTCAGAGAGCACGCAGCTAATTGGATAGCACTTGTGTCAGGATGCCATATGGTACTGGGATAACAGGTTGCCATTCAGAGAGTGAACAAAGGAGTGCCTTGCTGTGGCTGCTTTCACTGTCGGTGTAGTGATCCCAAACGGAAGTCATTTGTACATCCAGGAGTTAGTGAACCACACGGCAGTTAACCTGAGGAGGTGCAGGCCTGTGCTGTGCTGTGTTGTGCTGCACACAGCAGCTGGTCCTCAGGCATGCATTGTGCTGCACATGCTCCTTGGCCACAAGATAAACGTAGCTGGCTAATTCTAAAGAAGCCTATGGGGAGCTCCCACTTGATAAGGGCATAACGTAAGGCGGTATGGCTCATGTGAACATCCTTTTGCTTGACAGTGGAAATGGATAGAAGGTGGTTTTTTTTCCCCAAAAAATCTTTTGAGGTCTCCAAAGACAAAAATGCCGGCAAGTCTCTTCACAGAGGGGACTTAGCACAATCTGATGTGCTCTTACTAGAGGTTCATGCAATGCTACGTGGCTTGGGGTTTCCACCATCCTTTTTGTATTATCTCAAATAAATGGTATTTTAATCAACGCGTTATGGAGATTAAGTGCCCTCCTTACTGTCATCATAACAAACACTTGCACCAGTGCGTTACAGTTGGGTACCAAACCAGCTGAGTTCAGTTTGTATCCACCGGTATTCTTTTCATCTCAGCTTTTGTACAAATATATTCAGAAAACTGAAGGAACAGAAAAACATTTAGTATGTGATCCGTTTCTTAATAAGCCTTTCTCCCTGGTGAAGCAAGCTTGTCTTTTGTTTTCTGTCACTCTCTTTTGCAAAGAAATCATGCTCCAGGTAATTACTAAAAGGTTAAATACCTTGTATCAGAGATCGCATTTCACCTGATCTATTGCTGAAATGCTTAATGCACAACAGCACTACAGAATGGCAAGATACAAAGTGTTGTGATTTCAGGGAATAAACTGAAAGATAAACAGATTTGCAGCATAGCCAGGAGGAGTCTCTCTTTTTGTTCAGATGGTAGTCATGCTGCTTTACTGCTAACACTGTGGTACGACACCAAAGTCACAATTCCTACTGGGTGAACGTGGTAAGTCTCATTGCCAGTATATTTATGATGCTCTGGACTCTGACCTGTCTGAACCACAGGAAACTCAAACATTTGCACTCCTCTCAGTCATGGTGATCACTTGAGAGGTCTCTAAGACCAAGCTCTACATCTGTAACAGAGGTTAAAAGTAAAATGTCCACAAATACAGTTGGAAGGGAAAATATAGACAAAGAAGAAAAATGCAAGTAAAAGGAGTCCAGGATGGGAAAAAACCCCAAAGATTTCTCTTCAACTTGTTTCTCCTGGCACAGTTTAATTACTCATACTTTACCAGGTTATGAAACATGCAGAAGGCTGGACAGAATTTGGAGAGAGAAGATCTGGCAAGATCTTCCTTGTCTAGTGAAGTTGCTCCACGTTTTGACTTAAATCTTTCTTCATGAAATGCTTTTGATGATGATACTGTGAGATATTTCTCTTCTACAATCAACTAATTGCATCCTGGTACATACCAGCAAGCCCCTTCCTTGTCCTGGTAAGACAAAATAGTTGGGAGAAAAAATCCCAAGCAAACAAAACTGCCAAAAGCACACTGTATTTAGGTATTATTAGATATCAGAACTCAGACACAGAGATAGGAAGTTTAGTCCACCAGCTAATAGTTAATAATATTAAACCTTTTCCTATTAAGCTTTCTCCATTTGCTGGGAAAATGCAGATCACTGCAGTTAATGTCTTTTCCTTTGCCAGCAAGAAAAATCATGTTTGCTACAGATCTGCCACTTAAAAATGTCTGAGCACTTCAGTCTGTTCCTATTCATTGATTTGGCAGACACAGTTATATTTAATGGACTTAATCACTAGGTCCCCAAGTTGTTCTTCAGTGACACATTAAATGCCGAAATTCTCTTTGATGTCTGTGTTCCAGCCACAGCCTGCTAGATTCATAAAAGAGACTATCTCCAAAGTCTGCCTAGATAGTTTGCCTAGAGGGCACTCTGAAAAAATGTTGAATGGCAGAAGTCTTCTGGAATTACATTCTCTCTTTTGACACAAAGGACCTGACCACCAGTCACTGATGTAAACTGCAATTTGAAGGAATTCCAAGAATTCTAGTGAAAAATGTTAAGATAGTGTCAGCACACAAATTTCCCTGGTTTTCAAAGAGAGATTTGATGATTGTCCTAGGTTTGGAAAGGTTTGACTTTGTTTTAGGACTCTGAACCACTCACTGCACATAGGAGAAATACTTATCTACTTCAGTGAAACAGTCCCAGATCTGTAAACAACTTTGTGATACCCCAGACAAGGATATACCACTGAACCCTTGCAGAGTACTTGTAGAGTAGTACTCTGGTAGAGAAAAGAATATCTATATTTTGATTAATGATTACAACTCACTTATGCCTACTATTTAATTCCTGAAACATATGCAAAGAACACTTTCACCTGCTGCCTATCAGGAAGTGATGTGAGGAGGTCTGACTTCTCCCATCAACACCTCTTGGTGGTCTTTGGTTAACTTGGAGCTGAGAAGCTAAGCAGAGTATCTACTTAATAGATCTATCTTCAAATAGCTCTATTATCTAAGATTAACTCTGCTAAATTAAATGGAAGTATTTAGTACAAGATACTGTACAAGATAGTGTATTCAGTACAAGATACTGTCAGAGTGCTTGTCATACTCTCACATATTCTCTCAGCCTAAGTAATTTTCTAATTCCATCATAGCCATCCCCCTAAACTACACATGGCTCTGTTTAACCTCGTCTTTAAGAACTTTTTATGAGAATTCAGTAAACCTCTTCAGTTACCCTCAAATTGATTTCTCTTGTGTTAACTTTTCTAATCTTCCTTGTGACCAATGTAATTTTCAGCACACACAACAGTATTTGAACAAAATTTTATAGCTTCTACCCACTGCACATTTGAAAAAGTACTTAACTGGCTTGTTTGGAATCTGACTTGTCAGCTTCATTTGATATCATTTTAGGTTTTGTATTGAAAGAGACCATGAGCTGTTTCCATCCTCTTCCCATCATCGTGATTTTCAAACTTGGAATCACAATTAGGTCTTTTACACATTGAATTTTCCTGTTTCACTAAATTGTCTCTTGTATAGAAAACCTTGTTTATCCTCTTTTAGCGTAATTATGTTCTTTTTAGATATAGAAGAAGAAGTATTACAGTCAGTATTCAGCAGGCAGGTCAACCATGCATTTCTTTAATAGCACTGTTTTGTTCTCCATTCTTCTCCAGATAATGCCTAATTTTGATTTTCTTCACTACTGAGCATTGAGCTGATATTTTCATTGAACTATCAATCATCACTTAAAGCTCTTGATACCAAACAGTAATCATCAGCTCAGACCCATTGTTTAATACATAAAGTCATAAATATTTTCCCCTACACATATCACTTCTTATCATTTACACTGAACACTTGCAAACAACAGTACTTAACCTGCCATTCCACTGCTGAGTTTCTCAGACTCCTAAAGTCACAGCTGCTTACTCTGTTTTCTAGGCTATTTATGACTATGTTGAACAGCAAAATGCCAGAAGCTGGGTGTTTGCTTTTTTGTTTTCCTCGTTACGGATAATGTTTGTTTAATTTTTCATTCGTTCAACCAAAGTTTATTGAGACTTGGTTGAAAAATTTAATTTAATATTTTTCTCTTCTGTTGGATTTTTTTATTTAGAGCTATGTCTTTTGATTTAATGCTTGGATCTTCTATCTGTGTGTACATTTTACTGATGTCTTCCTGTAAACATCAAACACTAACAATTCCACAGTCTGCAAATCTACAAGTATTTTGTTAGCACTAATTTGTTCTTTATGCCACTCTCAATCTATCAGTGATATAAAGAGCTGCACTGGGGTGGTTTCAGTACAGCTTACGTTTTCTACTCTTTCTCCCCATAAATTTTCAATCTTTTTTTTAATAGGCATCTGTCTGATTTTGCTGTTGTTGTTAGTATGCTAGGAATTCGTCATTGTCCAGATGTCTCCCATGTGCCCTCTGAGCAACAAGCACTTGTATTTCCAAACCAGTTCTCCTTTATCTCCCTTTCCTGGCTCCTTTGCATCTTCTCTCTTTCTGCTGAAAAAATACTTTTAGGTTTCTTTTTGGACACAAACGCATGACATTCCTGTAAGGGATGTTCACTCACAAGACAATTTTTTCTTTTCATATCCTTTTTCCCTACACTGTGTACTTTAGGTGCCTAGGTCATCCTCAGCTTCTGTTGTGGCCAGAAAACAAAAATGATGCCTCATAAATAAACCTTTACTTTTATCAGGTGTTTTGCCATAGATAGTTAAATAGCATTTCTTGATGGCTTCTTGTTTGAGGCTAAAACACTACACTTCACAGTGTCTAATTACTTTATTTGATAGTATTCTAAATTGCTTGATCTATTGTGTTTCCTCTAAAAATGCTTAGATATCCCATGCAAGTTGTTGGAGGGCTAGCTCACAAGCACACCATTTGTACATAGTTCACCTTGCAATATGGGTAAGTCCAAGGACACATACAGGCTATGAAAAGCTGCAAAGTTTTATACCATTAGTTGTACTCACTTTTCCCTCATCTCTTGGGCTGTCACTTAAATGTACAACTGGACCAGGGTGAGTCTTTGTGGATCTGCAAGACAAAAAAACAATTAAAATCTGTGAATTAGGTTTTTTTGTATGAAGGGCTAGATGCTTACCTTAATTTCTAGGTGTGTTAACATCTACCTCTAACAGTTTAAAAGTAATTGTAAAAAGCTCAGCAGGGGAAGGTAAAGTTATTGACATCTTCTTTTCATGTTCTCCTCTATTTTTGCCATTATAGGCAAAGATTTTCCTTTGTCAATTAATCCTTTCTTCTTTTTTTTAAAAATCTCACTATTCCTCCTATTACAGTGATTTTTTCCCCCCTCTCATTCTTGAGGCTTTTTGCCTTTTATATTCTCTACTCTCTCTCGTTCTGACCCTCCCTCCTCATTTGCTCAATTTCAAGGCTAATCTGTCAAGGATTTGCAAAGTCTTCACCAGATTCATTCCAAATACTTATAACATGACTCACCTAGTTCTGATCTCATTAATGACAGGGCTTCAATAACCTCACCTACACTGCTCTACCAGGAAGTTTCTTAGCATTACTGCAGCAGCATTTCCGAAATGGAGCATCTTGCCTTTGTCTAATCTGAAAAGCTTTATACATCTTGAGAACAATGAATACGGTTACAGCCACAATGCATCTTTAGTGAGGCTCCTCAGCCACAAGACCCATCCCACAAGTCTTGGTAAGCCTATATAAAGTTACTGTTGTTGTCATCCCTTCTGTTTTTGTCACATGCACCAACAAGCTGTATGCAACTTCGTACAGGGACCGCTACTGAAATTATTAATGTCTAGCACTTGACAGAAAACACAAATCATCGGAAACTGAATGGACAGATGAAGATTTTTCAAATTTTTTTTTTTTCTGACCAGACCTCTAGGCCTTCGCAGTCATACAGAGCATACAAGAAGACAAATACCGGTCCACACTGAATGCCTTCAGGGAACAGGACCTTTGTTCCATCTAGGTTCTGGGGTCAGAGCACAGGGTTCCTTGGGGTTCAGCTTACCATTTAGACTTGAATTGCTGGTCTTGGTTCACCAAAGGCCACCAGGAAAAAACAAATATGACAGTGATTGGCAGAGCTGATAAAATGAATAATTTATCTGGAAGCCATACATAAAACTACATAGGCTCCAAGTTTTTATACAAACTGCAACAGAATTAAAGAAACAAAACAAAACGGCTCTCCAGCCAAACTGCTCAAAGGATTTTCCTAAATTAATGGTCTCTTCTTTTGTCCCAAATAGTGCACTGAAGCAAAACCATCCTCTGGTCTATCAGGTCAGAATCCAAATCAAGACTGAGAGTGGTATGCAAAAATTCACAGGCAATACATTAAAACACTCTGGACTGACTCATAGCCTTACAAACTACTCCTTCTCAAAACAGTATGAAAAAGGGCATACTGTCTTTCTAAGGCAAAGGTTGATCCCATCTAGTCACCTCTTTGTACCTACTAATTTTAAAAGTAAAGAACAATTATGATAAATCTGTGCAACCACAGTTTTCTATTTAATATATATATGACATTGCTTACCAAAGAATTTGTCTTTGGGCAAAAGCCAACTCTAATAAAATACATTTTCCTACCTCCCTCATTTGTAAATGATAGCTGAAGGACCCTGGGATTTATTTTACTCTAATAATGCTGTGGGGTTTTTGTTTGGTTTTGGTTTTGTGTCCTTGTTAGGCCATTTTTATTTCCTTTAGGAGTATTATAATTTAATTATTATGTACCTAGCTATTTCTTTAATTTTGTTGAATAAGGGCTTCATATACACCATCAGCAAAGCTAACACCAAACACAGCAGTCTGTGCACTAAATGTATGATATTTTATTTTTTCCTCATTCTCTTTCCTCTATATTTGATATAAATACTCTTATTATGTATATTATCTTACTTCTTGGTATTCCAATAATTTATTGTTTTGTATTATTCCTGAGTTGGTCTGGTCCTTCCTTTTTCTTTCACTTCTATTAAATTTAAGACTGTCAGGTGTGTCACTCTATCAAAAGACTCAACAAATCACTATTTAGCTTTTACACATACACCACTGGTCTTTGGTTCCACTCTTACCAGCTCTTTTATGTCAAATATTGAATGTAGGTGTCAAAGTGTTGGCCGTGGGGAGTTGCAAGATTTGTTTATACATACGTAAGGGGAAGTATAAAGTCTATTAAGTTTGGTAGTCATAACATTGACTCTGTAAATGAGAAAGGACCTTTTTCAAGTAGTTGTGTATACCAAAACTAATTTCACATGTGCCATCACAGATAAGATCACACACAGATGACAACAGATGTTCCTGAAGCTTTTTGGAAGTGTAGAGTGTATTCCCTGGCAGTCCTGCACTGCCTTTATGGGGCTCCAAGAAACATTGCTCTTTTTTTTTTTTTTTTCATAGCAAGTGAAGTGTTTGCATCAAAACTGATTCCTCTTTGGACTACACGATAAGGAACATTCACAAGATGTAGCACAAAGTTTGGGGTTTGTTTTTGGGATGAATATGCACAGTCCCCTCTTGGGAGAGATGTTTGTGGGAGGATATACTGATAACACGAGTTCAGAAGCAGCAAAGAAGAAAACTGCATACAAAAGGATTGCAACTTCCTTCATTCTACATGACCTTTTCCTTGTTGCTCTGAACCTGCCCCATGACTGGGTACAGAAGATGTGACATGATAAATCTTCTCCGGTTTGCTTGTCCTGAAGTGATGTTACCTCCTTTCTAGTACAGGACTGTGGCTACGAACCCAAACCCAGTCCTGGTGCCACACTAATACCAGAAATAGTCTGCCAAAGCCAGGTCAGCGCTTAACTACTTGTCTCTTCTTGTCTCCTCAAGGTAGGTACGGATATACTGAAACAGTAGTAATGTCTTTTGGATCCCTAGAGAAGTGTTGCCTGTAAAAGGAGTGCCAGGCATTGGGCTCTATGGTCAATTTCTCCGAAGGGTGGACATCAGGACTGCACTACAAGCAGGATTAAATGAAGCAATTATTTAGTTAACTGTATTATAACAATAATAATAGTTTATCGAACTTGTGAAACACTATCAGAGCTACAGGTACAGCAATTACTACCCTCATACAGTAAATTACACTGCATGTGGAAATGTCTACACACAAAAACCATTTTGCCTCAAGTAGTTTAGGTATACATAAAATGTTCTGTTTCCCCTCACTGCTATTACAGTAGAGTTGTCAAGGAGACTGGAGAGTTGTACACTGTCATTGTGGAACTGCCTACAAAGTAAAAAAAAACACCGTTGAAGTATATTAAATGCAAAAGCAGAGATCCAACAGCTCCTGGAAAGGACGAGGAGATGCTGGAAAGTCCATCATATTTGCAGCTACCATGAGTAAAGCACACTGATGTTGATGCCAGATACTCAAGTATAGTCATTCTTTCAAGCTGGCTTTGGGAAACGGCATAAAAACTAACTATATCCTATTCCTCGAGGAAGAGGAAAATATAGAAGAATCAGTGTGTGAAAATAAGACATAAGTGAAATAGTCAAGCAGAGAATTTTTCATTCCCAAATAGCAACTGGGGTACTAAGTAGCTGAGAACGATTGCAAAAATAAAAGCTCTGAAAAGACACAAAAAGGATAAAACATGAAGCCAAGTCCACACATTAAAAAAAAAAAGAAAAAGAAAAAGAAAAAGAAAAGAAGGTCAAGTCCAAAAAATACCAGCAATGATTTGCAGTAAAAAATTCCCAAGACAAAAGCTACCTTCAACTGAGCAAAAAGAAAGTATGAGCTAACGATACAAAAGTTTGCAACATTTCATAGCCTTCTTTGACCTTTAAGTCCACAAAAACAGACTGCAGAATTGAAAAATGGAACAAAAGGTTCCCATGACAGCTGTACAGAAGCAGATGTTTCCTAAGAAGCTACTGAGACTTTGAGCTGTTTTGCACTTCGTCAGAAGTTACTCCTGACAGCAGCAGGTATTAATTTATTTGGTGCACGTTCATTTTGGGAGATGAGAGAGTGGTTATGCCGTAAGACTTAACTCTTACTCAGAAGAACAGCACTGACATTAAGAAACCATTCACTGTAAAACAGTCTTCATAACAGTCTTCACTGAAAGGATGGAAGCTTTTATTTAATTATCTTATTTTAAAATTAGAAAGCTCAAAAAGAAGTCTTCAGCAATGCTATAATCTGGACCCAGGAAAATGTGGAAAATACATAGATGATGTATTCCTCAATCATCCTGGGACACTTTATGCACTCTAAGAAATCAAGTGACTTAAATACTGTTGTAGGAACTTCAAATACAAAGACAATTTTTAAAGCAGGTAAAAGTAATCTATAACAAAATAGAATCATATCAAAACAATTCTCCTTTTGAAAAAAGAAATAGCCTGCACAATTATAGAAGTACTGTGATTATTTCTGAGAAGAATGAAAAATCTGATGTTAGAAAGTGATAGAAGCAGTTAGGAGAGGGAAAAATGAAAACGTCTATATTAGTCATTGCTATGGAGTTGAAGTTGACTGAATGTGACAGTGCTGGGGAAAACATATGCATAAGCAGATACTTTTGTAGTGTCAGTAGTCAGGCATCTTCTGCAGTTGTGCTTTCCACAAAAGTACAGTGCACCAGGGACTTTAAGATCTTTTTTTCATTGGTAGAGCCACAGAGAAATTTAAAAGAATAAGTTAGATTAATCACTCCCATGCTGTGCATCAAAGCTGGGAACTGAAGTAAGTGAGAATCAGTTCAACCTCAAGATGCAACTCTGAGTCTTAGATACACTTTCTAAAATGTCCAGAAGGATGCCTTGCAACTTCTGCTTTTTTTATATTAAAAACTGCATCCATTTGGGTCTGCACATAGGGAGGGTGGTGGATTCTTCTAGACTGTTACTTCTCCTCCTGTGTGCTGCTTTCCCTCACAGCTCTGGAACTGCTGGCTCTGAGTCACCAGTGTAGGAAAGGAGGATAGGCAGAGAAAAGACTAAGAAAGGAAATACTACCTTATGGCTCTGTCATAACCAGGTTCCAATTTGCCCAATTCTTTGATACTTCAAATTCCACAAATTTTGCTAAGTTTCAGTTATTCATTCATTAGACAGTGGAGTGTTCAAACACTGGAATCTTACTGGGGGCTTATAATACAGATTTTTCATTTTTAGAGTTCAGTGAACTCATATTAAGACCTTCTTTTCCTTTCCAACACCACATGAACTTCCAAAATGTATGATCCTGCTGTGAAAATCAATCTCACTCTAGCTGGAGTAAATGGAGACATGCTGGGCTCATTGACTATTTTTCTCTTCCAGGTTTGTTTTCAAACATTCAGAGGGAAAAGAGAGAAACTGTTTACTTGTTAGAGAGTAGATAAACAAACAGTATCATGAGCCTCTAGCACCTATGGCAAAGGACTAGTTCTGCTACATGACAGAGAAGTGACAAGTGAAAAAGTTTTGAGTTATTCATTCCTAGCAGAAAAGGTGCTTCAGTGTGGTCTGAAGTAGTGATAATGCACGAGATGATAGAAATGCCTGAGACAAGAATTGGTACCCATATGCTTGTGCCCTTTCTCAGCTCTGGACAAGGCCAGGTCCACTGGGACACAGATAGTGCACATGATTTAAGAAAGAAAATTTTGCTGTATTTTCTAGAATTAGTTATGACTCAGCACTGAAAATACTCTAAAAAAAAATTAATGTTTCCTTTGTATTATTAGTCTATTCAGGCCTTAATTTCCCACAAACATTAGACACAGTTTAAGATCGCTGAATAATCTCTCCTGTTTGAGAAGACAATAGACCCTAGGATAAAATAGGTATTGCAATCATCTTTTTGGCATATATCTCTACTAGATGCTTCAGAACGAGTCATAAAACCACTATCACTAAAAAATATAGTGCTATACAGATATTTCAGTATATTTTGATACAAAAGTAGGCAATAAAATCACAAATGGTAACAAAAAAACACTGTACCAAAAGCCAACTTTGTAAGTCAAAGCAGCCATGCAGGAAAAGGTGATCAGATTTCTTGCATCATATCCAAAGCCTAAAAATGTTACATCCAAACCTATTTCTCCTTCAAGTCTTCAAACTACCAAGCCTCTTCACCTGAGTCTTTCACTGTAACAGAATCACTGTTATAAAAACAATTCTTGCAGTCATTTGATGAGCCTCACTGACACACAATGTTTGTTTTTTTCCTGAGGATGAGGGTTACATTCTCTGGAATGAATTAATTTCAAGAAGTGTGATGAAATTCATTTTGGGGTTGAAATGTTGGTAAGTCCACGAACAGACTAAAATTAATCACTGTATCTGCTCTCTGTGCTCCAAATTTTTTTTGTCTTATGCAATACCCTCTATTATATTGCTTACTGAGCAATGTCATCATGACCTTAAAGGGACAAACGTGGTCCATGATGAAAATCTAGAATGCAACTTATAGGTGTTTTCCAAAGCTGGAAATGGCCACACAGGTATCAGAATATCACTCCAGGTTACCTTGCCCACAGTGTTAGCAATGTAGGTGGAAGCTCTCTTCAACTGTGTTCTGAAAAACTAAGAGAACTGGAATTTTGGGTGGGGTTTTTTTGTATTCTTATAAAATGAGCTGAAATCTGTTTTTACAGTGACTTAGGTATGGTAATATGTAGTTTAACATTACAAAGTGAAAGCATTTCAGTTTTTTCTAAAAAAACTAACCAGTTCAATCTCCTCTTGGTTTCACATCTTCAGATCTTAATGACAACTGAGTTAAATCTGCTTTATGAAAATTCACAGAGATTTCATTAGAAGTAGATACAAGACAGTATAAAAAATGAGGGGTTTTGAAAGAAAGACAAAAACTGGCTGAGAATTGCACGAAGAGGCATAAAGTCCTTCAGGCTTTTTTGTACAAATGACACACAAACCTGACACACTCAAAATTTGCTTTATAAACACTCCATCTAAACTGACGACTTGAAAATAGGAGCAGAACAATGACTTTTACTGGTCTTTTCTTGACAATTAGTTCGACAGAAATGTCTGTGCAAAAGGTAAACTCTCTCCTTCCAAACTTTATAGAGTATAGTAACATCTTCAAACTAATCTCACACTCTGAAATGATATAGTCTCTCTCAGAACTAAAAACAATGTTATGAGCACTATTGCCTCCTACATCATTCATAATAAGGTTTTCAAGTTTTCCTGAAGCTTACATACATATGTTTTCCTATTTTCTTTCATCTTTGATATGAAATATACTTCATTATTCTTTTCATAGGATGGAGGAGATGGTGATCAAGCTACACTCATAAAAATAGCAAAATCTGAATTTTGGAGATTCATGATTATCTGTATCTCATGGCACTTCACAGCTAAACAGATTGCCAAATAATTTTTATATAAAATATAGTTATGTGGTCTCTATCATAAATCTGAATTCCTAATGTCCTGTAAAAACCCCGTTAATACTGCAAATGTATTCACTGAAATAAAAGGCTTTCAAAAGATTTGTTAATATTTGTAAAAACAAGTATTTCTTAAAAATTAATCTTAGGACAGCTATGAAAATGACCATAGACACAAATGCAAAAAAAAAATCTGCACTTACAGTTCTATTGCCTTGTTCCACATGATAACATATCCCGAAAGAATGAAGGACTCAATATTTACAATGTGTGTATTTCCCCTCTCTGTTCCGACATACAGCCATTTACTTTGGAAAGGTAGATGGCAGTAAGTAATCCTGGAAAGGAGAAAAAGAAAACATCAAAAAATTGTTACCGAATATCACATCAACAATATTTTTTAACACTTTTACAGATGAAATAATTATTCTTTCCGCTTTATAACTTGAGAAAAACCTGCCCAGCAGGTGCAGCATTCTGAAGAATGTGCAGGTTTGGGGGGTCATGTCCAGAAAAATCACAAAAGAGAACGTGAAACAAAAGAGGGCCTGCCTGCCTGTATTAAGGGCTAGGAAAAAGAGCCATATCACTTAAGCACTGAAGTAAGTCTATCTCCATGATATGTAAATTGCACTTCAATAGTATCCAAGACTCTCAAGTTGGATTTTCTTATTTCTTTCCTTAGAGTAAGCAATTTTTCTAGATGAACAAACAGAAGTTAATGGACATCAGTGGGATTCATGTTTTGTCCAAGAGAAGTGTAACACCATAATTCACACATGCAAACATTCATTTATTTGGTGTCTGGGAGAGTAGGGCCCTAGATAAAAGCATTTATCAAAACTGAATTACCATAGAAGACACACTCATATTATTCTTACAAGAAGATGAACCGATGTAATATTAGCTTGGAAAGATGTCATGACAATTTCTCATGATACTACATAAAAGTTTTCACAGATTATGAATGAGTAGATTCAGGTTTCTTTCATATTTTAGTTATATAGATATTCAAGCAAAACTAAATCTATATGAGATAAAAAACCATTTACTACTAAAATACATTGGAATGCATGCTACCTACAGAGACTGAAACTTAATCCAGTCTTACAACACAGACTGGTGAATTTTGACAAAAAGAAGGTATTTTGCTTGGTTTGCCATAGGTTATTATATTTATCAGTCACTTCCACAAGCAGGCTATTTCTTGCTTTTCTATAAAAACTTGGTTCTTTTTTTATTCTTAACACCTTCCACCACTACAAAAGTAAAACCAGTATTTAAGAACATACACATTTAAATTTTTTCATTCTTATGGTACAGCAATCTTTCTGAATGTATTATAAAAGAGTGGGAGGGGTGTTGATTCAAGTGAGACTTCAGTGTGATACAAGTTTTGTTCCATCCCTCTGTACAGGGCTAAATTTTACCAATAGTTGTCTAATTTTGGCAATAATTTCAATGCCTTTAGTGGAAAGAGAACTAAGTTTTTTGAGAGAATTGTTTTGAGAAAGGGAATTATATTTTAGTATGTGTAACTGAAAATGCCTTCCAGCAGCAACACAGTACTTATACTGTGGGTGCAGTCAAATCAACACATGTCTGACAGAAACAGCTGCAGACGGTATATGGCACCTGCATGTTCCTTATTGGAGTCAAAGCTATTAGCTTTATTGTTCGGGTGCAAAGAACAATTTGCCCTTTTCACTTTGTAATTTTACAAATGGGAAGTTATTTTTCAAGTATTTCCTGATTCTTCTTAAACTAAACAACTCCAATTCTTTCACTTTCTCTTCAGGCGCACCATTTCCTACACTTCCGGTTAAATTCATATTTAGTCCAATTTTTTTGTTCTATTTCTTTTATTCCTATACTAGCTCTACTTTTCTTTCTTGCACTGCAAAGCATATGGGTGCTTTGTTAAGTCCCAGCCCATAAAAAACTTCCCTGGTTGATAAATCCTCTTAATCACTTCACATTTATGTTCACTCAACACTTGTTTGTAATAAACTGTTAAATTACAGGAAGAGAAAATAATTTTGACTTTGAAAGTGTTGAAAATGTATCTGTCTAAGGAGTGACAAAAAACTCAAGAGTTACAAAGTGAATCTGAGTTGACTTGAAAGCTGCTACTCCAAATTCTTGCAGTTGGGTCATCAGACTAAGCAAGTTCAAGTCGACTGCAGCAAACTTGGTCTCCAGTATTCAAGACTGAATCCAATACCTTGACTATGAATAAAGTTTCGAAGAGCACCTCAGATACCGTGTGAGACTGCTTTGGGTTGCTTTTTCTAATCCTTCTGAGTTCCTTCCAACTCAGCATATTCTGTGATTATATGATTCTCCTTTTTGAAATTTGCTTCTAGGTTATGATCTCCCCACCAGACTAAGTGAGTGCCTAAATCCTTAAATATTCCATGTCCTCTGTTTGCCTGCCTTAGATTAAATATTTCAAGAATATGATGCTCTAAGAGCAAGGTCCTACAGTAAGAGCAAAAATTGGACTAAAGTATTAACTACTAATAAATAGTTAGGCCATAAGTTACTAGACTTAGTTTCCTTCTGGAGTTGGCAATAAGTCCGTACATACAATATGAAGGACCAAAAGAGAGCTGGGTATTGCTAAAGAATGAAGAAAATGACCAGATTTTCCTGTTTTCTTAAGCTCAGCTACTTGCTCTTAAATAATTTCATTTTGTTCCGACAAATTCATGGGACAGCTAGATAAGAAATTAATCTGCGTGTTCCTTCTTCCACAAAGAAAACTACCCTATGAGTCTCCATTATTTACCCAAACTGTTATTAGACATTATGAAATACAACCTACTAAAACATGTGAGCTTGTAAGAAAATGCTATTCCCTTACAGACAATCCAGATGTGTAACAAACCTATTAGAGCATAGGAGTTACTAGGCATTTTAATACAGTATATTGCTAGGCTTCACCAAACAAAGCTATATGATTTTCATATTCTCAGAAAACTCTGCACTTCCCTGAAGTACTTTTATTTCACATTATGTAAATTAAATGCAAACTGCTTTATATATTATTGACTTTTTACTTTTACAGAAAATATTAACTTGACTTTGAGGCTTGGAAGTTTTGAAGCAAGACTCAGATTTTTAATGAACATCTTCCATTTCAATAAGTACTGAAATTGCATAACGATTTCTTAAAGAGAAAACAATGAAGTCTCATACTACAGTTTTCACTGTGGGTGAAAAGTATTCTATTATATGACTCTATTAGTCATATATCCCACAAGCAAATTAAGATGTCCTTTAATGCCTCTACAAAAACGAGTCAATAAGCCTGAAAGAAAGAAAGGCTGTGTTTTTTTCTTAAGAAGGTAGGGGTTGTAGTAATTTGTGCCAGGATGAAGTGCTTCTGACAAAATTTAATCAGATCGTCAATCTGATTGAGATAACATGGAACCCAATTAAATGGAGACCTGAGAATTTGCTCAGTGTTGATCACTTAACATAAAGTCAGAAATGTAGATATTATACATTCTTAGCAGCAAACCACAATATGAATCTCATTGATCATTGAAAGAAATAGTAAAAAACATGAATTGATACCAAAAAAGGTGTTTCTACTCTACCAAAATAGTCTGTAACATTGTATTGTTTTCCCAATTCAAAGCACAAAACAGGATATAGAATGTAATATAAAAAAAAAAAAAAAAAAAAAAAAAAAAAAAAAAAAAAAAAAAAAAAAAAAAAAAAAAAAAAAAAAAAAAAAAAAAAAAAAAAAAAAAAAAAAAAAAAAAAAAAAAAAAAAAAAAAAAAAAAAAAAAAAAAAAAAAAAAAAAAAAAAAAAAAAAAAAAAA